CTGCACTCATATTACTGTTGATACTGGGACAGTGTTGTTAAAGAAGGGAGCACCCACCCCCGGTTAACACCGTTAGCTCAGTCAGCACTGTTGCCATTGTTTAGCACTGTTTATGGAGTTAGCACTATTAGCTGTTAGCAGCTAGCTCAGCCATCTCCATGGTGAGAACTGTGTCCGCATATCAAATATGCGCTGAATTTCCCAGAGAGACCCCAAACACTGTTTTGTTTTACCTGCATTACCATTGTATGTTTAGTGAGATGATATTTAAAGCCTGATTTGATTTGATTTGATTTGATGCAAAATGGTTAATTAAATGTTGTATAAAAGCAAACAAGTACTTAAAGCCATGGTATGTTGTGAGATATTGGAAGTGTCTTGCACTTTAAACAACTCAAGCACAGTCAAACTTTACCTACATGAAATATCTACCATATGTGCTAATAATCAATAATATGTGAATAATGCATTTGTAAATGTAAAGTCTATAATTTCACGTCACTGTTTTCTATTTGTCTCCTTTTATCTTGTTTTGGCATCCTTTTTTCCATCTCCCGCTCTCCCCTCCTCAGCCCAGTGCCCTATACATGTAGGTCACAACTGCCCGACCTACTTCCAGCTTCCTGGCTTTACGTAACAGTTCAGAGAAGCGTTACATAATCACAGGAGAAGAGGCCTGCCTGCCCCATGTCTCCTCATCATAGGGAGAAAGAGGCAGCACAGTGAAAAACACAGCCTGGTTTTGAACTCGCCCAGACAGAAAATGGCCTCAAATTAGATTAATGGCTTCTGGTGTGCGAGGCTGTTAAGAGGAGGATGAAGTGTGGGCAAGATTTGTAAGAAAAAATAAAGTTTGGACTTTCATTTAGGCGCTATATTTTTCTGTGGAAGGGTCAGAAGGCCTTTCTGCAAATTCAGGCCGAGCAAGTAAGCCGTGGCAAATGTCATGGAGTAAAAAGGAACATAGCTGGAGGAGAGGCAGCTTCACTGAGTTTTATTAAGGACAAGTCCATCTGCAAAAAGTCTGGATGTCTACTGTGGGACTTCTGTACTATTTGGGACTAGAAAAAAGTATTACTCTATACATTACAATAGAGTACAACCTCTTCTGGACACACAGAAGACACACTTAAATCTGGTGTATTCGTCATCACTAAATGGAGGGTAAATGATTATCAAACCATGTGAAAAAAATAGTAAAACTGTCACATTAGAGGAAGACAAACCCATTTCAAGTAATAAAAAGCACATTTGTGGGTTGAGAAAGAATGAAACAAACAAAATTACACAAAAAGAACCAGACTTGCTTGTGTAACATGGCACAAAAAGAAAGACCATCTTTCCCTGGAACTTCTTTCGAGGAAGTTTTGTTTTCTGTCCCATTTTTATTTCAGAAAACAGATTTTAATTTAATTTAATGTAATGGAAAGTTATGCTGTGGAGTCTTTTTGGCTCCTGCTGCAGCAGTATCCAATGATTATTTATGCATAACTTGATGCAGACCCAGATTACACATTTCTAAACATTTACTATGATTAAAAAAACAGATTTAGACGATGTGCAGCTTTAGTGGATGTGACCAAGTACACTGTACTTAAGTACTTGTACTCAACTGTGTTTTATATTTGTATTTTTGAATTTTCTGCTGCTTTGTATTTCTGTCACTACATCTCAGATGCAAATATTGTACTTTTTACTACACTGTATTAATTTGACAGCTGTAGTTACTTTTCAGATTATGATTTCCACATAAAAATATTGATTAATTTATAAAGGATTAAACTACCTGACAGTATAAAAGTAACAATTAACCTACTCTGAACTGGCTATTAACTATGAACTATTTACAAGCTTTGAAATATTTACTAACTCTGAACTAGCTTTTACATACCTACCTGCCTACCTAACTAACAAACTAACGAACTAACTAACTGTTGTTTTGTTCGTTAACTGTTAATGAACTAAATAGCTATTAATTAGCTCTTAACTTGCTATTAACTAAAAATTAACACCTAACGAGCCAATTATTAACTTCCTTTCCACTACCATTAAGTTACTATTAACTATAAACTAACATTGAACTGCCCATTAACTATAAACTAACTATTTACATTTAACTAACTAACTAACTAACTAACTAACTAACTCACTGTTAACTAACTCTGAACTAGGCTTTATTACTTACTAACTAACTAGCTAACTAACAACTATTTTGTTAATTTACTGTTAATGAACTAAATAGTTATTAATTAGCTCCTTACTTGCTATTAACTAAGATTTAACAACTAACTAACCAATGATAACTAATAACTCACTGTTAACTAACTCTGAACTAGCCTTTATTACTAACTAACTAACTGACTGACTGACTGACTGACTGACTGTTACAAACTAAATAACTATTAACTAGCTCTTCATTTACTATTACCTAACATTTAACCACTTGCTAACTAATCATTAACTTCTGTTTAACTACTATTAAGTTACTGTTAATTAACTATTAACTATGATTAAACCATCAACTAGCTATGAACTGATTAACTATGAACCAACTATTAGCTGATTAACTACCAGGTAACTATTAACTATCAGTCAGCTATTTACTAAAAATAACCAAACTTTTAAATAAATACGAACTAACTAACTTTTTAATTATCACTTTTTTTGGCTTTTTGCCTTTATTTTGATAGGACAGCTTCAGAGTGAAAGGGAAAGAGGGAGGGGGCGATATGCAGCAAAGCGCTGCAGGCTGGAATCAAACTCACAGCCAGAGCAGCAAGGGCACAGCATTAGTGCATGGGACACCCATTCTACCAGGTGAGCAAGTGGGTGCCCTAAGTAATTAACTATGAACTAACTTTTGACTAAGTATGACATAATTAACTATCAACTAACCAGCTATGTAATAATCAACTATTAACGATCTATGAAGCAACTATTAACTATTAACTATCTACACACTAAAATATTAAAGAACTGTGAACTAATTAACTATTAACTTGCTAACTATAAACTAATAAACTAATTAACTCTTGACTATTTTCTACCTGGTAACTTTGAACTAATCATGAACTACTTGTTTAACTTTTAGCTATTAATTATGAACAAACAAACTATAAACTTACTGTTAACCAGCTGTTAACTATGGACTATAAACTAATTAATTAACTAACTAATAAACTATTTTGCATGTTTTAGCTTACTGTATTATGCATTAACAGGTGTCATGGTAGTTTATTTTTCCTGTGCAACAAAGACACATACATTCAGCATCTGCCAGTGCATTTCAAAAACTTCTCAAAGGTTAAAGACGTGGCCAACTGACTGAAGAAATGGATTTAGAGGGATCTGAGTCTATTTTGATTGTCAATTTTCTCACAGACTGCCAGTAACATACGAAAACCACAGATGCCTCTGAATGCATCAAATGTTTAACATCCAAAAACCACATTATTTCCCATGATTATTTCATATGTTTTATCACATGTGAAATGCTGTTTCACAAATGATATGTCACATGTGACATTGTGCACAGTAACAGAGTATTCTTACATTTCAGAATTGCTACTTCTACTTAAGTAAGACCTGAATACTTCCTCAATCACTGCTTAGTGGGGGTACAGCTTGTCCTTTCTCAGTGCTGCTGGTGCTTTAACGGCTGTAATCAAATTGAATGCCATGAGAAAAAAAAACAGCTTAGATGTGAGGCATGATTTATGATGGAGCACACCTCGCCAAACAGAGAATACAAACCAATCAGACCTGCTTACTGAACAGTTCACTGGATATTTTATGACCTGAAATCATCCACTGAGGCATGTTAGCTGCCATCTCACCCTGTAATCCAGTTTAGTTTGTACAGGTGGGCTAATTCTCTCCTTCCCAAGTATGGTGAAAATCCCCAGTGGGAAAAAAGGTAATAAGAGCTCACTTGTTAGTTCAGCCAACTCAGTTTTACCATAATCCCTGACCTAATTTCAAGGATTTTGATAAATTCAGGGGTGTTATCGATGGCACAATTTTGTGAAATAGCAGATGGTGAGACGAGGAGGCCTGGAGCATTCTTAAACTCAATATTTGGAGGTGATGAGGTGCGTAATGGGAAGACATTGGTACACGAGGTCTGGGAGAGCATAATGGCAGCTAGATTACCAAATGATACTGGTATTGCTTACAAAACCAAACAATAACACAGTGAACTTTTTGATTTTGCCAACCATGTTTCCTGTTTATTTGTAGATCCAGCATGGTAACAACTGCTGTGTGACTACTTCTAGTAGATCTGATGATATAACTGATCCATTCAAACTACTGGAGAAACAACATTTCTTTCAACCAGCAGCCAAGACCATGAACCGAGCTACCATTAGGTCAGCAGATGAGGTGAAATAAACACCCAGCGTTGCTCTTTTAGCAGCTTTAACAGTTAGAAAAACTTGTTGACATGTATATAATAATGCTTTTGGCACTCCCTAGAATTTCCTAGTATTATTTCAAAATGGGCATGTCATTTCTTTGAACTGTTTTTTGGTTAAATCTAATTCAAGAGGAGGAGGACAAGAGGAGGAGCAGCTCGGGAACACGCGGATGAATATTAATGTTTGTTTTTTATAAAAGAAAACTACAATTACACCATGGATCTTATTTATCATGCCAGGAATTTGCCCTCCAGCTCAAAACGATAAATGTAGTCACGCAACACAATCACATGCTCTCATGAAACTCAGCTGACTCCTTTCAGCCTGGTGAGTTTATGAAGTTTGGTCTCCCTTTCATAATCACAGACTGCTGTCTTTTTTTAATTAAACTAAGCAAAATGTTTGCAAGATGTTTAAGGCAGCTGTTTAAAAGTGCTTGGCTAACACCAGGAACTTCGCTTGAGCTGTTGACACCCAAGTTTAGTTATGTCCCTTCATGCCACTGGGTAGAATTGCATTTGCTCCCATCAGAATATCAATACACAGCCATATTATCATACATTAACTTGTTCCTGTTCTTACCTCATTCTCCTCTCTCATGCTGTCTATGAGCTCCATCACCTTTGTGAAGTGGTGGCAGCGGAGGGAATGATCAACGACATGGGTAGGGAGCGCTTTGTGCTGCCAGTGCCTCCACTCCCACAGAGACAATTCTCTGGACTGTGGTCCGCTTTTGGAAACTGCCTCCTTTGGGACATGAAATGACATCATAAAGGTCTTAGTAAAATATTAGTTATTAGTAATATATTCAAGCCCTTAATAACATTCGGGAAGAACACCACTAAGTTCTGGCACATATTACATTTCAAAATCAATACCTTTGATACACATACCCTTCCAACATGAGGTTATGATTTATCCACCTGAAAATCACAGCAAATGAGGTAGCTGCCACCATGCACTGCCAAATTTGCACACAAATGCAGCACCGTTAATGGCTCCAAACAAAATAAAAATCTCTACAGATCCATTTAAAGTATCTAAATTTGAGTCTCTTTTTTTCTATGACATGTCATGGTCTCTATTCAATGTCACTACTTCCAGTGTGCTTTAATGGCAATATGAAAGGTATTACAGTTTATATACTTGACTGACAGAAGTACCAGTCAATCACTCCAGTAAATTCAAAGATGGCAGCAAGCCATCCATTTTGTACCGGGGTCGGCAACCTTTACTATCAAAAGAGCCATTTTTTTAAACCAAAAAAATCTGTCTGGTGGGCTATTTATGAACAACTGATAAGAGTTGGAGGTGAAAGCAAATGAATCTGTCCACCCATTATTAATGTCTCTATTTTCCTTCGAGACTTTTACAGTTTTGGATTTAGAGTCCATAGCTAGCCTCACTAGAGATTCAAGACTAGTCACTAATACTGAGGTTCATTTAGACATGACCCGAGCAACATTTAGTGTTCATTCATTCATTCATTTTCCAGAACCGCTTATCCTGTTAGGGGTCACGGAGGGCTGGAGCCTATCCCAGCTGACATTGGGTGAGAAGCGTGGTACACCCTGGACAGGTCACCAGACTATCACAGGGCTGACACATAGAGACAGACAACCATTCACACTCACATTCACACCTACGGACAATTTAGAGTCTGTGGGAGGAAGCCGGAGTACCCAGAGAAAACCCACGCTGACATGGGGAGAACATGCAAACTCCGCACAGAAGGGCTCCTCCACCCTGGGTTCGAACCAGGAGCCCTCTTGTTGTGAGGTGACAATGCTAACCACTGTACCACCGCGCCACCGTCGATTCATTTTCATATGATTTTATTTTTTAAAGCCACAGGCAGCCACTGGAGAAGGGCTAAAGAGCCACAAGTTGCCTTCCCTGGTTTTGTATGTAGAGTACACTGTGAACACATTGTCTTTGTAAACTACACCCAAAAGCTTTGTTTTTGTCATTTTTCAGTGGATTGTTTAATTTTTAAAGAGTCTTACAAAAAGCACATATAGCCCTTTTCCATACACGTGCTGGCTTTGCTTGACTCGGCACGTCAGCCAAGTGCAGCACAGATTTGCATCTCCAAACAACAGTGCAACCCGCTTAAAGGTGTGTCTTAAACTGAAGCAGCAGCCTCTTTAGCACCACTACTGCACTGTGCAACTGTTGTTGGTATCCAGCTATATGGACTGTCAGGCTTTCGTCTGGATTTTATTCATTAAACTGCCAAGTTGTCTACCATAATCGCTAACTTTAGCTGGCAGTGCTAATCCCAGCGAGGTGCCACTAGTTGTCATGACACCAGTAGCTCTTTACAGTTTTGTTAATAGCTGAGTTTTGTGTTAAAAGTGAGCTATTAAGGGTTTAAGTGCTGAAATGGACTGCAGATGATTGAAATACAATGCAGACTTTTCATGTCATGTTCAGGGGACACACAAAGTGTCTCTGAGGGCTGCCACTGGCCTGTGGGCTGCACTTTGAGCAACTATTAATCATTGCTTGATAAACGGAGACAGGGTGATGAAATGGATCGTAAATTGTCCCTGTATGATTGCAAAGCCAATCTGATGTCAGCTTGAAGACGGTGGGGGCGCAGTTTCTCCTGACTGATGAGATTGTCCATCTTGGATGCAACTTTAAACTGCATTTAAACTGGAAATAAAAGCATGGTTTGACTCCTGGCCAGTGGAAAAGTCCTAATACTGTATGTAGGTTTCAGGGCATGGATGGGTTAATTATCAGTCTTTATTGTCTAGTACTTTTCAGACATGAACAAGAAAGACAGACACAAATAAAGTGAAAAGAAAGAAACAAACCTGAGGGGGTACATCACTGGGTAGGGACACGAAATGTGATTGTTTCAGGGTTGGATGAGCTTCATCTTCCTCCAGCCTCATGGTGGACGCCCAGAGGGAATATTCAGCGCTGCTCAGAAACCCATCTGACGTCGCACTGCCCTGCCGAACTACCACATTAGACACACACAAACTCAGAAACAGTCCAGTGTTCCTCCATCTCAATTTTATATGACCTAATTTCCCATCCACTTTATCACTCACTCAGGTTTTGAGGGTGGATGAGTGAGGCCCGCCCCTCAGAGTGGGACCGTCGACCCCTGACCGACCGCCTGCTGTTCTCCCGATGGTCAAACTGGCCACAGGTAATGTGCATCTTGTGCAGGGTGGGGTTGACTCCCTCAGGCAGCATGCGGGGACTGTTGGGGTACATGTGGAACCTGTTTTTGTTGCCGATAATGGACTTGTCCACGCTGCGCTTGTTGCTCTGGCTCTGGTTGTACATCTGAGTAAAAAGGGTTAAAAGTTTGATGAAGCTGCTGTGTAGGGTTATGTGTATTTGGTTTTAATTTGAGGGCCCACAGCTCATTTTGTCTTGCTTTGTAGATGCAACTCAAACACTCACCTTCTCCTCGCGTCCCTCAGCCAGGATGACGACAATTCGTCCCTGCCGCTTACGTCCAGTGCGTCCCATTCGCTGCACCAGGCGGATGGGATTCTTCTGAGCATCGAAGCAAATAATGAGGTCCACCTCTCCGATATCCAGCCCCTCCTCCCCAACACAGGTCGACACCAGTGTGTTGAAGCCTCCCTGACGGAACCTGCACACCACCTACAACACAAGTGAACAAAGCTTTAGTATTTAAATCTTTCCATCTCATGTTGTCATCCTACACTCATGTGTCTACCCATCGGTGTGGTCACGTAGTAATGTTTTCTGTCAGATTACATGTATACTATAAAGCAACTGTCAGTGACTCTTCTCTCCTCCTCTCCTTTGGTGCTCACCAGTGAAAGTGAAAGCCGACACAAATGAATGTCGGAGTAATCAAGCATCAAGATCTGTCCTTAAGTGTGCGGATGACTTTGTAATTGTAAGCCGTCTTAATGGATCAGAATATGATCTTAGCCCAGGACTGGATAAATTTTTCTATTGGTGTGACCTGTCTTTTCTCCACATTAATGTGTCTAAGACCAGTGAAATGTTTATTGATTTTCAGAAGAGGCCCTGCCTTCCTGCTTCTTATGTGATCAATGGGGAGCTGGTGGCAGCAGTGCAGCAGCACAAGTATCAGGGCACTGTCGTAGATGACAAGTTGAATTTTGATGTGAACACTGACGGCATCTGTAAGAAGGCAAACCAACGTCTGTTCTAAGGAAGCTGAGGAGTTTCGAAGTAGATAGGGCTATCATGAAATTTTTCTATTCCGCCTTTATTGAGTCTGCCGTCTGTTGGTTTGGTAATGTGAGCCTTAAAAACAAGAGCAAGTTGGAAAAAGTGGTCAGGTTGTACTGTAAGATAACCAGTGTCTCAGTTATCATCCCCTCCATGTTGAGTTTCAGATGCTTCCATCAGAGCAGAGAATTGGCCTCCCTAAATGTAGCACTAAGTGTTACAGATCGTCCTTTGTCCCGTCGCTTATCTTAACCAGCAGTGACCACTAACTGTCCATGACTTACCCCTGACAGTGTGTGATACTGGACTCTGTGTGTTATGTACTTATCTATTTTGTTGTACTCATGACTACTGTCTGTATCTCAAATTACCCCTCTGGGACATTTAAGTTTCACCTTACCTCACCTTACCAGATTCACTCTTGTTTCTAAACAAGCTTTGTCGGCATGGCATTTCGCCTCGCTATATTTGCATTTTTTTTGTACACTGTGCCTGTGTTTTTCACAGCTTGCATTTGGATGTGTGCTGCTACTACCTGGTTGCTACCTTTTCAAAAAGTCCCAACTAGAGGTCGACCAATTAAGTGGTTTGGCTGATTAATCAGTGCTCACAGGATGTTTTGGAAACTTTTGTTATCGGCAGAACTACACCAGTCACACCCTGACGTAGCCTACGTCAATGACTGATGCTGAAAGGGGAGGGCTGTGGTAAATGGAGCAAAAAGGAGCTTGATCAGTAGGTGCAGCTCCAGAGAGAGCAGGTCCATTCTGCGGTGTGAGTGTGTTGTTTTTCATTTTAACATATATTTACATTAGTTTTGTGGCTGTGCTCCAACAGCGGGTCCAGCGCTAGAGTTAAATTTAGTGACTTCATGCCTGAGTGAATACCGCCACTTCCTATTTCAAATTAAAAGCCTCTCTTTTAGAATTCAAAGCCCAACATAGTAGGTTTTGACCTAGTCTTGTATGAATCACGGAGAAAGTATTTGAGTATTTTAGGGTTGATGTCCTTCCTGTTCCAAACTATCGTTACAATATCAGCACTTAAAAACCCACTATCAGTCAACATTTTTTAGACAAATCCTGCACAGTACACCTTTAAGGCTCTGGTCTATTTTACAGGACACAATGCACATTTACATTCAAGCACCTTTCCTGCATTATTTAGAGGAAATGGCACAGACTGTTTGCAGAGACACTTCAACGCTAGGCAACCAGCACTGAAGTTAATGCAACAGCAGTCATGTTTGTTTTGCCACAGATGTTCACAGCCACATATTTAGCTTGGTGTAGGATTTAATAAGTTGTCTCTGAGAATTTTACCACCATATCATGTTTTTATGTTTCTTAACTTACTATATATGCCACTCCTTACTGTAAATCTGCCCCTGATTTAAAAAAAGAAAAGTCACTCTACCTCCAGTTGTTCCTTTTGAGTGAAGCCTCTGACTCCCTTCCCTGCTGACGCTTGACCCATGAAGGTCATGACCCTTATCAGTGGAGCATGGCGGTTCAACATTGCTGCGATCTCCTGTACGCTTTCACGGAACGACGAAAAGATCATCACGCGTGTGCTTACTTCCTGAGGACCTGGGCGTCAGTGAGACAGAAGAGAAACAAGCCGATTAAAAATTCCTTCATTAACCATGAGCCAATTTCATATGCCTGTTTGATTCAGATGCTGGAATGCTTTGTTCTGTGATCCTCTCCATATTTAATATGCCAAGTGCAAACATTCGCTCTTCTAAAATTATTTGGGTTGAATTAAGCTGCAGTAAATATTATCTTACCATGTAATGGCGAAAACTCTGTCTGTCTGTCTGTGTGTGTCCGTGGGTGTGTCTGTGTGTGTCTGATCCACGTTTTTCTCCTCACTGACTTGGTCAATCCATGTGAAATTTGGCACAGTGGTAGAGGGTCATGGGAGGATGCGAATGAAGCAATATTACATCAATTGGCCAAAGGGGGGCGCTATAGCAGCCGATTGAAATTGCAAACTTTGAATGAGCATATCTCATGCCCCGTATGTTGTAGAGACATGAAACTTTGCACAGAGATGCCTCTCCTCATGAGGAACAAATTTGCCTCAAGAACCCATAACTTCCAGTTATATAGATTTTCCGCCATTTTGAATTTTTTGAAAAACACTTCAAATCGATCTCTTCATAGGAAGTTTGACCGATCTGCATGAAACTTGGTGAACATAATCTAGGGACCAATATCTAAAGTTCCCTCTTGGCAAAAGTTGGAAAACTTACTAAAACTGAGCTTCTGTAAGGCAATGAATATTGCGGAGGGCGTGGCTCATCACATAAAGGTGTATAACATCTCAAGGGTTTCACCCATCACCACGCAACTTTGTAGGCATATGACCACACATAATCTGAGGGGACCCCTCCATTATTGACCCCATCAAACAAAATGGGGGCGCTAGAGAGCTAATTTCTTATCTAGGCCTAACCGCCATATCGATTTTTACTAAACTTGGTAGATATGTAGAACAGGACGCCTCAAGGTGACTGGAGAAATTTAATTGGCAACTGGGTGGCGCTATAACAACAGAAAAATGCTTAAAAATGGCTAAAATGCAACCGTACTCTCAAATTCACAAAAACTCTGTCTGAATACATTGCTCTTCTTAATGGGTTCAGCTGATCTGCAATTTCCTATGACCTGTATCCCAAACACACACCATGTGAAACTGTATGTGGGTAACTGTGCACTCAATGGATATGGACTAGTACTATTAATTTACTGTAAACATCACACTGTTGCATCTTTAAAGTGGGAACAGACTACTTTTTTAACTCCCACCTGGGTTTCAATTTCTGTTGCACCACTGTCACAAAGACAATAGATTGCTTTCCATTTACCTCAGAGCCTTGCAGCTACCAACAACACAGGACACGCTGCATGTTCACAGTTACTCTGGTTGTTCCATCGTCCACCATTTCCGCTACTGCGCATAGTGATGGTGAACGGCAGCATGTAGCTTCACTCCTTCCCATCTTACCTTTCACAATAAAAGTCCTAGACATAGACCTCAAAGACGAGACTTTATATGAGACGTGTTTAACTTGAATATTATCATTTGTTCCAGTTCTTCCGTACTGTACATAGTTGTGTTTGGTACCAGCAATTGATGCCTTTGAAATATGGCCAATGGCGAAGGAACTCGATAAACTTTTCATGTGGAAATTTTACTATGTTTTCCTATGTTTGCGAACAATATAAAAGGTAACAAGTAGAAGTGTAATTTTTCATACTTCCGCTGTTACTATTTTGTTTGTTTGTTTGTTTCTTTCTTTCTTTCCTTTGTCCTTATTTGTGATCCAACTTATGAAAGAGTGACTTTGAGACTGTAAAAGACACGTAAAGACAAAAAGATTCCCTCAAATAATAGAGATGTCTGTCTTGATGATGAATCTAATAGCAATTGACTTGAGCCTGTTTTTTTTTCTTTGTTGGCCTGTTCCCCTTCAGCACTTACATTTATTATGATATATAAGTGTCAAAACAGGTGTAAAGTATCTGTTATAGTCTTTTGTAAATTCTCTGGCTGCCAAGTGAAGGCATAACAATAAATAATAAAAGCCATAGACATGTACACAGAATCACTGCTTACCAGAGAGAACAAAAACTACTCAGAGCATTTCGCTAAGATAAAACTCAACATAAGCCTTAAGCCTTCAATTTCCCAGGAGGTATTAACCAGTGGCAGAGAAATTGCCAGTGAAAGCAAGGCTATAAGGAACCAATCTAAACACTGATGGTGTCATTATTCTATTACCAAGGTTCAACAGCTTTAACCTTGAGCTAGCTGCTCTCTCTTTGCTGTAGTTAGGATGACAAGAGAATTATAGATTTCAGCTCAGAACAATTATTGCACGTATGCGTCACAGTATAAGTCACCCTTATTTTCCACTGAGCTCTCAGCCCATCGTCTGAAGTGCTGCAGCACCACCTCCTCCAGTTTCTCCAGTTTGGGGTGACTGTAAACAAACGGCTCATCTGGACCTAGAGGTGTTAATCATAGCGGATGTTAGTCAGATAGACACTGTGTGTTTCTTGCTATATTTAAAGTACCTGCTGCACAAACAATATCAAGAACATTCAAATGAATCATGGAACCACATAATATTAAACTGCATTGAACTGCAATTACCATGCTAAAAGATGTGCAATTGATTGACTGATTGATAAGAAAAGCTCATAAATGTGACAGTTATGGTATGTATGAGTGTTCAGGTACCAGCAGACGGCTTCACAAACATTGCTTCCATCTCATGGTAAAGGTCCATCAAAGTAGGAGTCCTCTGCAGCTCACTTTTGGCCCTGGACATCTCTAAACCAAATAAACACACACACACACACACACACACACACACAGGGGCACGGATCAAACCGGGGTATGAACTCTTGTTGTGTCTGTGGATAAAGTGCCTGGAGGTAAGGTGACTGACCTCTGGATCCGTCCATGATCCCCTGGATGTAGAAGAAAAGTGACCGGAGCCCCATCTGCATCAGCAGCTCGTAGCCGTGGTACAGGCTGATGCAAAGGGCAAAGATGCCCTCCAGCATTCCCTGCTGAGGTCCCTGCAGAGAGCAGGAGTGAGTGCATGAAATCATTGTGAGACACTGGTTAGAGTGTGATTTAAAAAGCCTTGAAAATGATCACATTGCTTTTATTTTATTTTTTTCAAAATTATTGTAATTTGCAGTGTAGACCCTGTATTTATCTTGATTCTAAAACATGCTCTAACACTTTGATGCTTATCCCGAATATCTAAACTTGGACAGAAAATCCATCAATTTCATTCAAGTACATAAAGTAGAGCACAAATCTAATATTTATAAACCGTCTAGACCTCATTGTGTGATTGATTTCCTACAGTCTTGGGCACATAATGACTAAATTTTATCAATAAATTATATTAGCTAGTGCGTATAGAAACCACATACCATTTTCAGTTTTCTTCCCTACATTGCAGTTTTCCTCATGCTTATTTGATAACGAGATGGGCATGTTGGACTAGTTGAAAAGCCTATTCCCCTGATTAAACATTACACTCCTGAAACATTATTATCTCTTGTTTTCATCAAGGACCATGACTTTTTTCTACAAACTGATTGGAGGTTAAAGGCACACTATCTGGGATTTATCTGCACAGACTCTGCACTCTGCCTGTATTTTCTTATTTTATGTTGTGTTCTGGACGTTCCTAAGCACAGCACACAGTTAAGGTCAAAAATTGTGGACACAGTGCCAAAAAACCCCAACACAAATACCTTTAAGGAAAAGTATAAAGCATTAAGTTTTTTCACACCTTTTAATTACTTAACTAACAATATTATTTACTGATATTTGCATTAAATTTGGAACTCTCTCCCCCACGACATTCGCAATATTGGCTCCCTTTCCACTTTTAAATCCCGTCTGAAAACACACTTTTTCAAGCTGGCATATTTGGTCGGATTTAAAGGTGACACACATATATTGAGCACCGATGATGATTTCATACCTAATATTTCTAATTATGATTTTTGTCTAGTCATTTTATTAACTTTTATTGTATACTATGGAATATTTCTTTTTTATTTTATGATCTATGGATACATTGCTGCTTGTTTTTCTTGTGTCTTGTAAGGTGTCCTTGAGTGCTTTGAAAGGCGCCTATAAAAAAAATGCATTATTATTATCATTCATTATTATTACTGACTTGTCTGACAACCTCTTTAGAGCTGCAACAATTATTAATTACTCAATATGTCGATCAATAGAAAATTAATTGACAACTATTATTTGACTATTCTTGGCCTGGGCTGGAATTGAACCAGGGTCGCTGTGGCAAGGACTCAGCCCTAAAACATGGAGCACCCACTCTACCAGGTGAGCTACAGGGGTGCCCCATTTTTGTGATTTGTTAATAGAGAAAAACATTTGCTGGTTTTATGCTTCTTAAATGTGAGAAATTGATGCTTTTCTTTGTCATACATGAAAATAAACTGACTAGCTTTGATTTTTCTACTGTTGATCACATGAAACATACCATTTAAACAAGCCACCTTGAGCTCTAGGAAATTACATGACATGTTTCACTATTTTCTGACATTTAAATTACTAAAGGGTAATCCATAGTAAAAAAAATCGTTAGTTGCAGCCCAAAACCTCTTATTACATTTTGTCAGTTTCAGGGCTCCATGCATCTTACAAAGCTGTACCTGTAATTCTGAAAGACTGCGTATCATTTCATGTAAAACTGTATCCTATAGCACACAGTATATGATGTAATAGCACTAAAAGATTCATAGAGCAGAGTACGTGCCGTGATGCACGGTGGTGGGTTCTTGCGGAACTGATCCCTGGCGAGGATAATCTGGTATTTGCTGAGAGTCCGCAAGTCTTTGTGTGCCATCACCCGATTCTGGACCAGACGAGACATGAATTTCTCCAGCACCTGGCGGGGAGAATAACAGATGTCAGATGTCGTTCATGGATAATAGAGCATTTTCTGTGTTCAGGGGTAACGCATCAGACTGACTAGCAAGCACCCCGCTGACACACAGCTGAAAAGTGCATAGACACACAAATGCCCTCTATGACCACTTTGAGACATACAGGTGTGACCTCTATGGGTAAACAGACTTCCTACTTCAACAAGAAACACATAATAACACTAAAATGTTTTGGATTCATTCTTCCTCCTGCCCTCATTTTTTTTATAATGGGAAGGGAGATGGAAGCAGTTTGTCAGACGGACAGTTTTAACCATATCCATTCATCCTCACGGCTGCAGATAATGGGAGGCTGGGTCATTACAATTTCAGTTTCAGCTTTGTGGAACGGCTGCTCTAGAAACCGAACAGGATAAAAGGTTTCTCTGAAAGGAGGAGTGGGCTGCCCTTCAGAATCAATCAGTAAAAAAAGAAAGAGAGATTTTGTAACAGATGATAAGCAATTTAGTTGTTTTGATTAGTAAATGGTAATTGTGTTGTGAAGGGAAACAAAGCTTTATTACAACATGAGCATATATAACATGTGTAGGTAGGCCAGATGAAGTAAGTAAGCCTGCATTCATAGAAATGAATGAAAAATTACCGAATAGTTTTGTAATTATATAGGTTATATTTTAAAAGTACCATATATATTCTGTACACTAAACTGTATATTTTAGTACATGTGGGGCCCTGTATTGCATCCGACACAAAGTGGCATACAACCCAGGACAAGTGTCATTGCTAGTTTCTGATGCAGTTGTCATTTTCATGGCCAGTGCCCATGTCCGGCGAGTCACAAATGTAATTGTGCCCATCTGTGCCACCATGGGTGTGTAAGGTGTAGTCAGGTGCATTGTGGGCGTATTGCTATTTTGAGGCAGCAGAAAGCAATTGCGCCATTTACCAACAAAAATGAATTATTCAGGTAGTAAATTGCACCTACGTAAGCAGGTTCACAACATACATACACCCTGCTTGTTACACACACAGGAAGGCGGAGATGAGTTATGGGTGGGTGAAACAATTCATCATTAATGAGGAAAATATTACTTACATTTTCTAAAATGTGAACGTAGCAGAGAGCAGAGCAGAGCTGCTGTACAATAGACTATTAATAGAGACCTGTGCATTTACACACGAGGAGCAGCGTAACTTCATTGATATTTCAGAGGATAAAAGTTGAGCTCTGTTTTCTTTGTCAAGTTTAGAACTACAGTTTTTAATTTGCTGCTTAAATGTCCCAATATTTGCTGCTCTTACAGTGTTACTCTCAGCTTCTCCGGTTTGCAACTGCACCAGGTGCAGGCCCACCTGGCTTTCAAAGGCAATGAGAGATGACTCACCTATGATTAACAACGGGATTGAATACAACCTCTTTGCCCCATGCACCTGACTCTGCAGCCAGATTATACGCCATATAACTCTCAGAACTAAATGCATTTGCACCATGCACTACAGATTGTTGAAATAGGGCTCATTGACTCATATATTCTATACATCATATGATATTTAAAAACACCTTGACAGTCACCACTTGGACAACAAAGGATCATAATTTAACATAATAGAACAGAGAGCACAGTATACTTTAACATGCACAAATATATTACATATTAAATTATTTTAAAAAAACAACAACCTTGACATATATTTTTTCTTATTAAATGGTTGATTCATTTTGTTTGGCAATCATTGCAATCCACAAAATAGAAACAACCCAAAACCTTCACAACTACATGTGATGTAAAAAATAAGAAATAAACTTAGAAAATCAAAGTAATAAAAAGCCAGTCACTCTGGTCCGTAAGAGATTTAAGAGAGTGAAATGTGATTCCAGTTTATATCAGAGAACGAAACACTTAGGGCGCATCACACCAGGATGGTCCAGGGGACTCGGTTTGGGGCGGGGAATGCCCAAAAATTCCACACCTTCATTTGGTTCGATTCACTTTCACACTGCACTTTTTAAAGCGGACCAAACTGCCTGGACAACTCCACGCAGTTACAACAGCTGCTGACCAGGAAGAAAAAACAGCACAAGGAAGAAGAAAACCCTGCTCATCGATTGGCCAGGACCGAAAACAGAAATCCATCCCCTTCAGCCAGCTTGGTCACCAAGCGAACCACACCAGGGTTCACTTGCAAGTGAGCCGAGACCCCCAGTTTTCAAGCGGACCAGAGTCAGAATGAGCATTCACACCACTCTTAACGAACCGAACTAACCATGGAAGCGGACCAGGGTTCATTTGAAACGGACCAGATAGCGCCAGTGTGAATGCGCCCTTACAGATTTTTCAGTAATCAATTAAAACAATTGATGAATAACACATACACGTGTAGGAGCTAAACTCTTTTCTCCTGTTGCTAATAATAATATGTCCTGCTAGTGTTGCAATGTTGCTCTATAAGGAAATATGTCACTGCTGCCTCTAGTGGTTTTAAAAGTTGTATGTCCCTTTATATTGCATCAACTTCGCCTCATGTTTTAGCACTGAATCACACTTTTGATGATCATTGTTGATGTGTTCAAAGAAGTCTTTTAAACTGTATGGTAAATGGTAAATGGATCTGCACTTGTATAGCACCTTCTAGTCATCTGACCACTCACTCATTCACACAAACATTCACACACTGGTGGCCAAGGCTACTATACAAGGTGCCACCTGCTACTCAGTTTTTCAACACACTCACACACCGATGGAACAGCCATCGAGAGCAATCTGGGGTTCAAGGATACTTCGACATGCAGACTAAACTAAACTAAACTAAACTAAACTAGAAATAAACTGATTACTTGCGCAAAAAGTCTTTTATGGTTACTATTCCATCTCCCCATGAGCCAGCAGTGGTAGAAGTAGCTGTATTTACGCTAACAACATATTCTATTATATGTTCATACCCCCAGAGTCACACTGAAACACCAAGTAACACAGTAAACATCAAATAGAGCAGAACAGACAACCTACTTTCCCTGTTATGTGAAAACATTCTTAAATTAAGCTTTCCTCTTGAAGTGGAAACGGAGCCATTTACCGTTTCTGCTAAACCTCATCCGGCTTTTTTAAGGTGAAACAGGAGTGTGCGCTACGGAGCTTATATGAAGACAAAAGCAAAGGGTTAAATAACAGCCCTTAATTCCCCTGACCTTTCAGAAAACATCAACAGCTATGTCACCTAGACCCACACAAGAAAGCATAAGGAGGTTAGCCTATCTGGTCAGGATTGTGCTTCATCACATATGATATGGTCCAAACTTGAAAACAGATCACGTAAGGGGCGATCGCTAAAGACAATTTGTTAAGAGAATAAAGAACCAACTAAAGCCTGGTCAAAAAACAAACCCAAATTACCTATAATGATACAATGTCAGTAAGTAATATGAAGACTTTATGGATGTACTGTAAGTTTCTTTATCGGTGAAGCTGTTTGTTTACAAGATGATTCAATCATAGTTGCATAGTTGACGAGATGAAGGAAGTCTGATTGCATAATTCAGGTCTAATGTAGCAGCGGGTATAGGAAAAAGATAGACCAGATGGGATGGGAAATACTGTAGGCTTTTCTATGGATGGTGACGTAAGAGGATCAGAAAAAGGAGAGAAACTCCAGTTAAATCAGACCATAGGTGATAAGGCTAGCAGCCTACCCCAAACTTATCTGTAACTATCAACAACAGATGCTGCTAGCGAGGAATGACCAGATTTTAAGATTGTGGCAACATAGTTGTGTAAGATTCTGCCATGACCTAAAAGTCTGCACCGAAGGGTTTACATGTCATGTGAACTGAGAAATGCCTTCTTCTTTACGTCGACTATTTTAGTGTCTTGAAAGTGTCTGAAATAAAATCTGCGTTCAAATGGAATGTGTGAGCTTGTGTTTACGACATGGAAAGTTGTGAACACAAACTCATGAACTCAAAGCCCTCAGACAATTTCAACTTTCGAGGTCATGAATACCACAGCAGGGTGGTATTCATATGGACTCTACTCGTGAACTGGGTAAACACAACCCCATTTGAACGCAACAAAGATGTGTTAAGGCCGTTACCTACGCCGCAAGAACAGCGAAGTTTGTTCTCTCTCACAGGGCTGCAAGAAAACAATGACGTCATTCGTTTCTTGCAGCCCTGGTTTGGGAGTTCTTGCAGCTTGTTCTCAACACATCATTTGGGCAGAACTTTATTCTTGTGTGGTGTCTGAGAACAATTGTGTGATTGGTCAGACATATGAAGTGGGCATGGTTAATGCAGAAAAGCGCCTGTGATGTATGTGGCAGTGGGAGGGGCCTATGAAGACTTCCCAGGAGTTCTGCACTTGAGTTTCTTATGAAGTATGAAATGTCCTGGCCAGAGAGAACTTTGTTCTTGTTCTTGCCACCTCGAGAAAAAGAACAAATGGGGCATCGGTAGCGTAGTGGATGGTGCCGGCGCCCCATGTGTAGAGGTGATGCCTCGCTGCAGCGGTTGCGAGTTAGCATGTTATCATCTTGACAAAATATAGCTTAGACTGATGGCTGTACTCAAAACTACCTACATATTATTATCATTATATATTTTAAAGGGACCATGCGCAGTTCAAAACACAAATGTTACCATTGATGCACCATATCAAATTATAGCTTTGAGCTAATTTGCATCTGCGGTCCCTCAGCAGGTCAGAAAAATTCGAAAAATGTGTATTCTAAAGCCTGACCAGGGACAAAGACTGCAAATTAGCTGAAGCTAGACGTCTTTTATGCATCACATTTTCCCATGTTTTTGTGGCAATGTTGTATGTATCGTCCCTGTTAAATAAACATTAAAATAAAAATAAACATACCATCAATATATGCAGTATGCAGTACCAACTACATAATGCGTTCATCTGTAATATGCAGTATAAAGCTGTTAAATTGATTTCTTTTGGCTAGGGCTGAGCCAAACACTCAGGTGAAACGAGTATCCGGTACAATCCTAATTTGAGTAGCTGTGTTTGATCTCTCACTCTTGTGATCAAAACTGCTCAAACCTGAGATTGTTCTGTAAATAGTTTTCTCTATATAAATATAGCAACTTCTAAAGAATTTCGGGCTTAAAATACTTAAAACAACTTCTGGTTTGGTCCCACCCATTTCCAGTTTAAGCCACACCCACTTCTGTCTAAAACCCCACCTATACTGAGTACAGATACTGATAACGATAATTTGGTTGGTTGAACAGACACAGACACAGACACAGACACAGATACAGATACAGATAATGGTGTACACTCTCATCCCTACCTTTTGCAGTATGCTAGGCTCAGCCTGCTTCTGGTTTTGGAAAGCGGAAGTAACAACAGCACAGCTAAAAGCAAACCATTGCTACTGTAAAGCGTAAGTTTGTAAGTGTGCCAGCTGTGTCTTGCCCCTGCTCTGTCCTTAATAACAAAAAATATAGCTTAATGTTAGATTTACATTCTATCATGTGGTTTTCTTGGTGACAGCTCACTATGGTTGCTGATATTTAACATTAGCTTAGCAAGCTCCATCCAACACTTTTATTTTCTGTTGTACCGTATAATAATTAGTCTTTAGTCGTCCTGTTAATGTATCTATGAGTTAAAGAAACTGACTTTAATTTTGAATCAGTGAGTAGTATGAGGTCTTCTGCAGTGTCTACTGTATATGTACATATGTGTGTGGTGTTGCTTGTCAGAGAGAGGCAGACAGCTTTGAGAAACAGGTCCACAAGCTGTTTACAATCCCCAACTCTCCCCGTCTCACTCTCTCTCTAGTTAATTGACAGGTGGAGCTCAATGAGGCAATGTGTACGCAGCGGTCAGGTCCAGATTATGAGATTACTCAGCACCAGATTAGTGAGGTCGCTGTGTTTGTCTGAGTGGAATGTGGAGTGAAATGACAGAAAGTGCACAAAGAAAAATTGTTCAGCTGCAACGTCACTGTAACTGGAGCTTGTTGCCTGCACTCTGATACTTTAAGATAAAGCTGCAACTAAGGATTAAATTATTATTATATTCTCCATTATATGACATGACTGTTTTGTCTATAAAATATCAGATAATAGTGATAAAATGTGCTCATCACACTATCGTAAAGCAGTGGTTCCCAGCTGGTCCAGCCACGGGGTCCAGATTTCAATTTAGACGTTAGTTGGAGGTCCCACAGTTTAATATATTCAGCATCACACTAGTTTGCTGTCTCTGTCAAGTAGCTGTCTGTTATTCACTCACTCTACAGCAGGAAACAGCACTTAACTAATGTGTCATGTTTTTTACAAACATGACACATTAGTCACTTGCAGTCCATTCAGAATTGACCCCATAAAGTTAGAAACATCTGAAAAGCTTGAATCATGAAGTGTTTGGCATTTTTCCTTGAAAATGTACTTAAATTATTAATCTATCATCAAAATAGATGCTAATTATTTTTCTCCACTATCCTTCACCTTGCATGATGTTGGGGCTTACCCCAGTTTGCTTATATACTTATCAACATAAACCAACACACACTGAACTGAATTACTGTGATTTTATTAAGAGCGAACAATGCGTTTCGCTCGTGGCTTCTTCAGGTTCGCTCAACAGAATCACATGAGCATTCACATGTCTGCTAAATAAAATCAAAAATAAAATAAAACCATAGTAATTCAGTTCAGTGTGCAGTAGTTTATACTGATGATTTTAAAGATTTTTTTTTTGGGCCATTTTGCCTTTAATTGATAGGACAGTTGAGCGTGAAAGTGAGAGAGAGAGAGGGAGTGACATGCAGCAAAGGGCCACAGGCTGGAGTCGAACCTGGGCCGCTGCGGCAACAGCCTTGTGTATGGGGCGCCTGCTCTACCTCTAAGCCACCGACGCCCCTATATTGATGATTTTATCTGAGATGTTCCCGCGACTGAGTTATGGATCAGCTTTGCAAACTATTAAAGTTCTCTATTAAAGTTTACATCTCATTTAGTGTTGGATGGGAGTGAATCTGCCTGAGTGATATGACAAACAAATATTTGGATAAAAAAAAACGTGGATAAATAATTCATAATGGGAGAGGAAAGTCAGAGAGAGGAAACAGAAGAGGAATGAGATTATTCTTTAAATGAAAATGACTCAATCACCACCTTCTTGCTAGGTCTTGTATGTAATTGGGACAAAAGGATAATTGGTGACAAAACTATGTATTTTAAACTTACTTTTATCTTCCCATCATACCTGGCATTGTACTGTATATAGTATAGAAGTCAGATTTTGTGAGAAACGGATGAATGAATGACTGAAAGACTTAATTTTGAACCAAAAATAGAGAAAAACATAATAAAAAAACAAACAAGACAAAGATTACAGAATCCGAAAAGGGGTAGGTAGAAGTAAAACTTGTATGTCCCTACCCCTTTCTTACATTTATTCTTTTAACTCATATTATTTCAACACATTCCCACAATTATTTTCAACTAATACACAACTATCCCCAGTCTGTTTACCACCCAACACCCAGATAGATTGATAGGAAGCAGAGAAGAATGTTGCTTTAATGAACAAACCAGGAAAACCATCACTGCTGTTTTCGTGGAGATAAAGAGAAAGAGTTTAGGTAGGTGAAAGGAGGAGGTGAAGGAAATGAAAGGCAAAAGAAAACCACCAACAAAACCACAAAATGAGGGGCTGCCATTTGATTTTGGCCGTGATGTCACATGCTAACAGTAACAACAGTGGTGTTTTACAATTAAAAAGATGAACATACATTACATTTTAAATTGCTTAATGTCACATTGATGAGGTCAGGCAGGCTGGAATAAATGAATCCAGTGTAAAGGTCTCGTAGAAATAGTAAAACAAACATGAGGTCAGTGTTAGATTTGGATTATTCCCAAGGCCAGTAAGATTATTAAAAAGAGAAGAGGAGAGGATGGAGAGGAGAGGACGTGTGCCAAATGACAACATCGTTGATAGCAGCCTCACGGAGCATGCTCAGCAGGGGCCAACAGATGATTGGTTCAAGGACATGGAGCTAAGTGACGTGGTGAATCGCTGAAAAAGCCAGTCTGTAGGCAGCTATTAATAACAAAACCTACACTAAGCTGAATTTTCACCCCCGCATGTCAGCAATGGGAGGGACTTAATGGTATGTATGTATGTGTGTGTGTGTGTGTGTGTGTGTGTGTGTGTGTGTGTGTGTAGGAGGGTGTGTGTCTGGTGTACATGGTAGTCTTCAGTTAGTCAGGACCAATTATTAGAGCACTGTAGGGTGTGTATGTGTGTGTGTGTGTCTGCATGCGTGTGTTTACATGGAGACTCCCCCACAGACTATGGAGGAGAGGATTACATAATGTGCTCTCTACGTGCCTGTCGAAGGGTGCAACATGGTGGTTGGCTGCTGCAGCGACACAGATCAGAGGAAATCCCGCTTAGTCTGTCCCTGAGTTCAAGTTTGTTTATTATCCCCACAGGAGGACGTTTTTGTTTACCATCTGCCACAATAAAAGACACATTATTAAAATAACGCAACATGAAAAAAAAGATTTGTACACGCACACACACACTCTCTGCTGCCCTCTCCCACCAGGTGTTCCGCTGTTAAGACGTTCATCAATTTCTTAAAGGGTCAGGATGCAAATAAATACGTGTGCGTGTAAGCAGGTGTCACTGCTACAAACAGGATGTTACATATAAATGAGCTAAAGCTGTCACTGTGACCCAAACAGGGCCAAACACCTTTCATTGAGTACAAAGTGGCAAGTAGCAGTTAATTACTTTTATTAAGTGTGTAGTCATAGATTTATGTCATATATTGATGTAATGCAACATAAAGTTTAAATAAATTTTTGATTTATAAAAAGCCCTACTTCAAAATGTTATATACACTACTATATATCACACTAGAAAAGGCAATGCAGCTTTCTTTGTATAGCACATTTCATACACCAAGGCCACTCAAAGTGCTTTACATTGCAATAAAATATATAACATAATAAAGAATACAGATTTACAATAAAAGAGAAGATATCAAAGGTAAAATCAATTACTAAATTGTTTTTTTTTTAATTAAAAATCACCAAAAAAATAGCAAATATGCAGACAAGAGGTGCAAATATAAAAAATATTTAAAATTATTTAAAATCGAGTGCAAAAATGAGCTTGTGGTCCCATAAAAATCCATCCAATACCATACTAGATCAGAGACACAGCCTCCAGTACTAAAACAAGGACTGTATTTTGATGACTGATTAATCTTATTTGTCAAGAACAAATGCAAATCATACTCTGAGGTCCTCGGGCAGACGTCTTTTGTCTGTTTCTGGATGTGATGGACATTTGTCACTATTTTCTGATGATTAATTAATTAAAAAGAAAATAATCTACAGATAAAATGAAAATGTGCTGACATATAACAATAAATCAGGAAATACTCATCACAAAATGCACTTGGAAGCTACTGCTGTTATTGCTGGCCCCATTATAAATAAGGATTATTATCATTATTATTATTATTAGAAATCCATCTTCTAAAATATGATAATATTCAGCTTTTATCTGTTTATAATTGCATATTGAATATCGTTGGGTTAAGTTAGAAAAAAAACTTTGGGTTTTGGTCAGACAAAAAAAAAATATTTTTGAGGTTGCCACTTTGTGTTTCAGGGTGACATCATGGACATTTTAATTCTTTTCTTATATTTTATAATTTTGATAATTAACTAGTTAAGAAAATAATCTACAGATGAAATAAAAATGAACTGGCATATATGAATAAATTAGGAAATAATAATCTACTGCTGCTGATGCTGTTAAAGCCTTTGTTACTGCTGGCCCCTCCTGTGATGACTGTTGGCTGACACGTCTGTACCCGGGTGGGGGTCTCGGGTATTTATCATGTCGGGCAGGAGGAGGAGGGGTCTGAGTGCGCCCGCAGCGTCACGTGGTCCGCCCTCATCTCCTGTAAACAGCGCATTCACCCCCGGCTACGGCGAGAGGGGAGCGTCACTCTGCTCCGCGAAAGCGAGGGAGGCAGCTTCTTTCTCGGTGTTTAGCGAACACAAAGTGAGCACCGCGACGGAGTATGGCTCGTTTAAGTTAGATATAAGACTGCAAATATGCATATGAGTAGCTGTGTCAAGGAAAGCGTCGCAGCGCCTGGTTTGTGGACCAGAAAGTAACGGCTGTACTACTCTGCTCGAGCAACTCGACGAGGTCCGAGGAGAAAAAAAGAAGCTTGAATTCAGCCGCGGTTTTTAAGTTAGTTTCGCTTTTTTTGTTGTCGGTTAATCCTTCGAGGCATTTTTAATCAGTAGGTGCGAGTCTTAACTGAAGAAATGGACCGAGGTGGCTGCCAAATGAGCGGCGGTGGCGGCGGTGACCGCAGTGGTCCCGAGGAGTCCGGGATGATCACACTGGAGGACCTGGAGTCGTTCTCGGAGAACCAACTGTCAGACTCGGGCAACGGCAGCCTCGAGGAGGAGGCAGAGACCATGGAGGACGACGAGCAGTCAGACCGGCTGCTGCAATACTGGCAGGACGTGGCGAGGGGACACCAAGTGGAAGTTGCTCAAGGTAAATAAAATAATAAACAAAAACAATAAACAACACGAGGGCTACAAACGAGAACGCTTTTTGTCTGCTTAACCAGAGCTAGCCAAAACAAATGTCTGCTTTAGTGCAATCTGTCATCTTTTTTTGCACAACTTTCATAGACAAGTATAAAGACAACTTGTTAGTTTGGCTCAACCTCCTCAAGGCACAGGCTACCTACCACCATGTGCACTGACCTATTTTCCAGTGAGGCAGATCGACAAACCAGTTCCACCCAGGACTTTACTTTCCCTGTCCTTCAGGCAAACATGTGTTTCAACTACAGACCTGTACAGTTATTATAAAAGTGAATGCATTAAAACCCAAGGACAAACTTTGGAGCACGCAGACAAATAAGTTCAACTTTTGCATGGAGATGGGTTGTTTTTAAATGATCAAACTGCTGCACAAGTGTGATCATGGGACCTGTAGGATCTCTGTTGAACCCCAGAAAGATGAGAAGCAGCTACATGTCACCATTATTATCAACACACTGCAGACAGCTACTGTGGTACCTGTTTAATAGTCCTACAATTCTACTAAAAAAGAAGTATCATGGATTGTATGGAAATGTGGACATCCTCAAATTCATTTCACACTGTTGCACTGAAAGCAATAGATCACACGTAAACTGAGGTGTTAGGGATCATTTACATGCAAGCGAGCATTTCTTATGTGAGGAAAATAGTGTCGATCACGGACGATTATGTTGTTATCAGGCACGTAACAGAAAATACCTGTGTCCTCTTGTGGGTTTAAACATTGTTTTAGGGCCGTATAATCTTTCAGACATCACAACAACATGCTGTGTTTCCTCAAGTGTGATCATGATCATCTCTGTTGGATCCCAGAAAGACGAGAAGTAGCTACATATCACCATTATTATGAATGCATTGCAGACTGTTACTGTAGTTTTTTTTGTTTCATAGTTTCATAATCCTACAAAAAAGAAAATAATTTTCGAGGTCTGCTATAAAATGCACGGATATTTGAAGATCCTCTTAGTGAAAACAGTTGCTAAAAGTCCTCTGTTAGCGCTGTTGCACAGATAATTCATGTGATTGTGTTGTTTTTAGGCACATAACAGAAAATACCTGTTTCCTCTTCTGGGTTTAAACATTGTTTTAGGACAGTGTAATCTTTCAGACATCACAACAACGAGCTGTGTTTCCTCAGGTGTGATCACAGGACCTCTAGGATCTCTGTTGGATCTCAGAAAAATGAGAAGCAGCTACATATCACCATTATTTTAGTGGCTAGAAGTCTGCAAAATCAGGAAACACACTGCAGACAGATAGTGTGTTTTTGTTAAATCTTTCCATAATTCAACAAAAAAAAAATCTTAGGGTCGATTATGAATTGCACGGAAATTTGGAGACCCTCTTACCACTGTTTCACAGACAGCAAGAGATCACAAGTACAGTGAGGTGTTAGGAAGAATTTACAGCAAGCAAGCATTTCTTATGTGAGGAAAATACTGTCTGTATGGCTCAGCTTTCGCTCAGATACAATCCACAAAAATCATGGCTGATTGTGTTGTTATCGGGGCATATAAAAGAAAATACCTGCTTCCTCTTGTGGGTTTAAATATTCTATTAGGACAGCATAATCTACAGATATTACAAAAATACTACAGTAGTATTACTGTAGGAGTATGATCTAATATCAAAGCAGTGCTAGTAAGGTTTTGTCGTGCCTAGCACATTATAAGCTCAATAGAAAATAAATGGTTACATTAAAATAATTTACATTTGTCTGGCTTTTTGTTTAAAGTGCTCGGTTGTCAAAGAAAATGAAAACACAACCTTTTTTGCCAGGGCTATAGTCTATAGAAGTGTCACTGGTTCTTGCATATTTACTGGAATATGAAATCTCTGTAATTCAGCATTGGCTTTAGAGTGTATTGAATGGTTATATTATTTCAACCTCAAATTGAAATAAGCAAAAGTGGGGGAAAAAAATCACATCATCGTAGCAAACACACTGCTCAAAGCTGCATCCAATAAAGGGCTGCCATGTTCTGCTGGAAATGGTGAAGGATAATCAAACAAATAAAATAGGATATGAGAAATACTTTTAGCCTCTGTGTATGCACATCGAGAGCAACAATAAACCAGGGTCAAATTCCTTGTATGTTTACACGCACTTGGCCTATAAAGCCGAAGACACAATAGTTACTCAATGGGGTAAAAAAAGCAATTAAATTAAATGTATTCTCAACTGTGTGAACGCTTTTATGTCGCCACTTTTGAGCTCACCACACAATAACACCACTGGCTGGAATTTGTAAAGTAAAGCTAAATAAAAGATTGTTACTATTATCATCTTTCCACAGTGACAGGCTCTGTTTACAATTGTAATGTTTTCTTTGCTCGTGCTATTCACCGATTCAGAGGCAGAATGGGGCTAGAGTTTTTTCTTGTTTTTAATTGAGTGGAGTTGCAACTTCAAAGGTAGCCATGTTGAACACTACAACCAACCACAAGCAGTGTGTGAAATCAGAGTGGAAAAACAAAAGAAAGGGAAAGCAGTCTTATCTCTTTGCTTGATCCACTCACTCAGATGGATCTGTCCTCACCCCTGTGTCACAGTTGTGGAGTGTGGGCCCACAAACTCATGAACTATTTGCAAGCTGTCTGGAATGTGGTCCTCAAGGTTGAACCGCCTTGCAACCCCCGAGACTGAAAAGATGGCCCCCAACAGGCCGATCCAGGGTCTGACTTGAGCCTGCAGCAGTTGAGCTGTCCCTCAGGCAGTGCTGTCACAGCACAAAAAGCACTAAGACGTATGGTCCAAATTGGAATTTATTGTCAAGTTTGCCAGATGCAGTTGTTGTATTTAGTTTGTAGTGGTAGCATAGCTATTGAATGAATTTATTTGATGGTTACAGCTGCTTTTTTGTAAGTGTTTGTTGTGAAATCACATAAACAAAAGGGAGGGGGGGGGTAACTGATTCTAGTCACTGACATTTCCACATTATCTTGAGAAAATTTTAGTTTTTCTGTGCCTTCAGTCATAGTTTTTGTAGATTTGTAGCTCAAGAGTCTGACTTTGCTGTACAAGAAGGGCTGCGCAGTTCATTGAAATATCAAAATCACAATATGGCCAACTGCAAAATCCAAATCATAAGAGCTGCAATTGCTTGATAAAGGTAAAATGTGTCATTACATGCAATTATAAATGAAGCATTGTGATGCTACAGTGAGGCCCTGGCCAACAAATCACATTCAAGAGGTAAGGGAACATGCTCATTAGGCACAAATTTTCATATTTTTTTCAGTGAAAAGGAAATTCAAAAAACTATTCCCACTAAAATCGCAACTCATATCGCAATATATGTCAAAATAATATTGCACAGCCCAACATAAAAGTCCAGACGTGCTCAGCTGGATACAACAGCAACAGTTATTTTCAATTGTAGAACCTTCCAAGCCACCGCTAATCACAGATCTTGGATACACAGACCAGAACAATGGACCCATTGAGATGATCTCAACTTCATCAGTTAAATTCTCAGAACACACTTTCGATGTCTTACTTGGCCTTGTAGGGCACAGTAAATTGAAGTGATCATCAAAGCCTTCCTTAATAGTAAATGTGTGTATGGTAAATACGTGCTAGTCAAGGTCATGGGTTCCCAACCGTTTTGGCATGTGATTTGGCGTAGCACCGTCTATGTGACTGCTCATCACCAGTTTAATGTGCCCATAAGGCAGTCGTAGTTTAGCGTAATTGTGGTTAAAATAATTTCTAGGAAGGGTGATTGAAAGGCAAATAATAAACAAAGTAAATAAGACTTGCGAAAAGTCAGAAAAAATGAACACAGTTTTGTGTGGAATACATTTTTTTGAGTGTCTTATATGCCTTTAAGGGGTCCTGACTTCAAGCTGGGAGCCACCCCAGTTTGGCTATTTGTCATCAAACTGGTTGCCCACTAAGAATCCAGTAACAAAGTAGGGCATGTTCTCCGCCCTCTGCTCTGAGACCACAGCACTAATTGAGGACTTAGTACCAAACCACTTGCTGGGGCTTTCTGACTCAGGGGGGATTAGCTACCTTGCCTGCGCTGGTACTGGGGTTGACGCTGCTAAGTCCTGGACTACAGCACGGTTGCTAAGGACACAGGCCAAGGCTGCAGTAAACTCCTTTACTCTAATTGGGATGGAGTCGGGGGGACAGGGGTGACGTGGGAGCTCTGCTGCGCTTGCAGTTTGGAGTTATTTGATTGGCTAATGTTAGCTAATACATCTTTAATTCCACTGTAGCCACCAACTAGTTGTTTTTACGTTCAAAAATGCCACACCTGTATTGTTTAAATGGTATCCATGGCAACATGTGTAACTGCATAGGCGGCTGTGGACACAAATCCAGGGTGCTTAAGGCCTTTATGGACTGTATGATTTTCACGCCGTCTCAGTCAAGCTCCTTGCTGCACACAAAGATGATATTATTCGCAATGGTTATTCACAATGGCTCATTTCAAAGTAAAAGGAGGTCAGAGGAGCAGAAATCATCAACTGATCTGGATGCACGAAAGACTTCCAGCTTGTAAACAAGACGGAATTTATTTCTCCAAAGAATGAGGCCAAGAGCGCTCTCAAACGGCCACTGCTGTGTGTGTTTTTTAATCTCCCATCAGTCAACAGCAATTGAAAAGTTAATGACAAAATTGACCTTGTCTCTCTCGGTAAATATTGACAATAATAAGGGCCTTAGCACATCCATGAAACGAATAACAAATTAAACAGCAGCGTTCTTCTGCCAAGTAACACAAACCCTACTTTTTTTAATCTTTTTAGCACACTAATACGTTGTGACAATGCTGACATTTTTTCCATTTTGTAAGTGTGTTTGCAAAAGTTTGAGCTTGTGTCTGTGGTCCGTTCAATGTGCGCTGCCACTGTAAGCAAGTGTTAATAATTCATGCACAGTCAAAACATCAAACTTTACCTGCAGTGGCTGCCAAAAGTTTACGATGACATGCAAAAAGTGCATTCACCCCACATTACCTCAGTTAACTGCAAATGTGAAACCACGGTCAACCTCAGTCTGGACACATTTGAAACATTTCACATGTCTACACCTGTCTAACTATTGTGCATTATATTGCATCGTGTTACGTAATGTTACACATAAGGAAAGCCACAAATAGACTGCACATTGACCACTTACTACAGGGAGGGACTCTAACCCTGCACCTGTGTCACTGTTCTACCAGCGCTCTGCTGCACTGTGCACTGTATGTTTTTGCAGATACAGCTTTTTTCCGTCAACCTGTCTACAATGATTACATCAGGGTATACTGATCAAACTCTGCACTAAATTCACGTCTACGACTGTTGGTACAATTTAAACACTTATGTGTAGGCTTCTGACATAGGTGCAATGTAAAAGAACATACATTTTGTATGTTAAACTTATGGTTTGGATTGATGAAAATGCAATGAACAGCCTGTTTGGAAAGTGGTGTTACTGTAGAGTATGATGGTCTTTAAAGGAAAGTCTGAACCTCATGGGAAACGTAGTTGTTAAAAGCAGATTCTGAACAAAATTCCTCACAATTATGTGTCAGTTTGGAAGATGAAAAATGAACATCGCCGAGCAGAGGTTAGTGGAACAGAGGCCAGGCTGAAAGTGACGTGGCTAACAGCCCTGTGTTGATTAGAGCGCTCAGGTACAAAAACAAGTGCACATTGACTGTTCTGTGTCAACGCTGAACACCTCTAAAAGTTGCTGCCATAGAAACTGATGAGTTTGCTAGCTTGGCCGTGCGTACATTACGCGCTTGAGTGTGTGTTACTGGACACACACACACACACACACACACACATACATAAACTAACAGGTAATATTTTACTGTCAAACACACATAGTCATTATCCACGCCAAGGCACTCCTCCTGTAACCTTGATTTCATGAGATCCTGATAAATGAGTTTTGTGCCACTGCTCCACTCTCCCTCTCTCTCTCTCTCTCTCTGTCACACACACACACACGCAGAGCTTTGTTGGTCGTCAAAGGATTGATCACCTGAATACCACAGATCCCTCTGACCCAGTTGTCCTCCATGATATTGACTGACAAAATGTGATTGAATTGGGTTCACCTTAACTAACTTGTATTTGACAGGTCAACATTTGAACTAAGGGACAACTTTATGGATGAATTGTGTCTATGGTCCATTCATAATATAATGCAGTATGGTCCACACTTTAATCCGTTTAAGCATGTGTGACTGAATTATATCTGTTGCATATGAGTAGTAAAATAACCTATAGCAAGTTTGAATTCCTACAGTCGCATAAAAGATGAAAAATCTGAGTTTCAGAGACTTTGTTTCCTGCATTCAGGTGACTTTTAAAGACTGCAACAGCGTTTTTTGTGTTAAATACTTTAAATTTTACTTTAAATTCCAAAGTAAGTCTACAAAATAATTAGTCTGGCATGGATCTCTAGCATTAACTAATACACATCAGTTTTCATTCATTCATTTTCTCATGCCGCTTGCCCTGGTGTTGAGAGAAAATCTGTTGCAGCAGATTTGATAGTGCATGCCCCCATTCCTTTCCTTAGCAAATGGGAATTCTTCTGTCAAGAATATCTAAAATTCTGAAGTATTTCTGTCTCTTAGTACTCTCCATTTCTATCTCTCTTTCATCTCTTACTCACTAAGAAGGACAAGGTGTGAGCAGGTCTTTCTGTGTCACATGCATGCCAAGGAACGACATCAGGTGTAGCTTTTTGAGTTGCAGGGCTTTTACTGGTTGTACACAACACCAGAAACAGGTAGTGATAGTGAAAACGGGAAAAACAAAGGGATGAAAATTTGTCATGAATTTGAAGAAATGTGAACCCCAGGTGGAAACCAGGAAGGAGCAATTAAAAAGGAAAATCTCCTGGTTGGCAATTATGGGGTAAACTACATTATTCGTTTTTTGTTGTTGCTGTTGTTTTTTTACATTATTCATTCATAAAATGCAGTTAAGCTTCATGAAAGTTTTGGTAATAGTTGAAACATGCTCTAGTATTTCAAAAGCACTGCCTACTGCTGTAGTCCCTCTCTGTTAATACTAGTCTATATCTGGCCGTGGGCAGCTTTAGTCAGTGTTCCCTCCATCAGCTCCAATAAACATTACTCTCTGCGACATCCTGGCACAGCGTTCTGCCCATCTGGCAGCCTTTTCTCACACAAACTACCATCTCTGCCTGCCAGTAGATTACTGGAAGTGAGGATGATTTATACAGATTAAAGACAGGAGACTGCAACTGTTGGTATAATGTGAGTGGGGGGAAAAAGTTGTATGGAATTGGGCTGGACAGTATATTGTTTTTTTATTGTCACTCTGATGCAATAAACACGTTGCAAAAGGGATTTTTTTTTGAAGAGGCTGAAAGAGCCTCAGTTTAATCTGCATTGTGCCATTTACATTTATTGTTCAGTGTATTCAATAACAAAATGTTGGTAATAATTTTCTTTAATATTTTTATGCAACAATTTGTTTTATTTTAGCAGTACACTGAAAAGCAGCAGACAATAAGTTTGTGCTTTTGCTCTTATGGAAACGGTTTCACCTATGTAAACAATACTGTATTTCTGCACCACTGTTTAAACTGACCATGCACTGTTTGTCTGTTAACAGATATGGCAGAGCCCATTAATCAACTAACCAGCAACAACAGTGGACGAAGTACCAGAGAACACATCCCCTTCACCCTCCTCTCACGCAAAGAGAAGGTACTTATCTGACTACGACAGATGTACACACTTTTATCTCTCTATACATTTTCATGTTCTATATAAATTGGTTCACCCTTCTGTGTGAGTATGGGTCAGCTATTTATTTTTGACAAGATGATCGTGTCACCCAATACAATAAGCCATTTAAACTCCTTAGGGGACTTATAAATAAAGAGAGCTAATTGGTTTAACATGAGTTAATTAGTTCATTAAAACTTGGCTGGAGACTGCGGTTAAACAAAGGACAATCATGGCACCTTATTCTTAGAGCAGGTTTCAGCGCAGGACAGCACGTTGATGGCAAGCAGACTTCAGTGGGTTATACACCTGAGCTGCAGTGGTGACTGTGCATAGGCAGTGTTTGATTAGGGCTGACAATCAATTAAGGATCAAGGAAGTATATTTAAATTAAATTCCCGTTGTTTACGAGCTTCTTTTTAACTCTGAACACAGACACAATGGTTCCTCTCCAGGGCAAATTATAATTTCTCTCAGTGTGTCGTCTTTACTGCTTAGCCACAATGTCAGTTGCCTTCTCAATTACAGGGTTTGATATTTGCCCACAAATACAACACTGCTGTATTGTAGATTGGTGAAGCCCTGTAGTTTTGGTTGGGTGTTTTGTTTTGACGTAATATGTCAAAGACAGATTACTTCTGTGGTAAATAAACTGGGCAGGATGGTACCGTTTGGTGGTGTTCTGTCAGTTGGTGCTACCCACTCTGGATGAGCTACCAGTAGTGATAGGAGTGGATCGGAATGGACCACTACCAATATTAATGTAGTTGAGAGAGTCAGAGTGGACTATTACCTTTATAAATGTAGTTAAAAGTATGGGTGAGTCCTCTGGAACATTTTTCCCTGCATCCGAAACGCACTACACATGCAGCACATCCTGTTGGTAGGTCATTTTTATCCTTCAGCGATCAGACTGTTGAACTATTGAACTGTAGCACACATGAACTTACTTCCTCTCTGCACTTAATTGACCTTTTTAGTAGTTTCTATTTTAGATTTATTTAATTATTTATTTACCTATTTATTAGCTGAATAATTTTACTGCACTGAGAACGTCTAATTCTGTTGGTTTTAGACGTGAAACAGTATTTAGTTTTTGTTTCATCATAAAAATGACAAAAGGAATCTGTTCATGAGCAGAAGCAGAATTTCAGTGGTTCTCAACCTGGGGTCCAGGGACCCCCAAGAGTCCTTGGGAGAGTTCAAGGGGGTCCCGAGACAAAAAGGGAATAGTTTATTTTCAATATTTAATTCACAATAGAATTGAGTAACTATTCTCAACATAGATTTCATTTCCCTACCAGTTATCTTTGTAGTTGACAACTGTATAATACTGGTCCTCATTAGGGATGCACTGAAATGAAAATTTGTAGCCGAAGCCGAATAATATTAAACGCTTGGCCGAATACCGAGTACCGAATACCGAATATTGTTGTTTAGTTTTTCATTAGTTTTTGCAGATGAATGATTTAAGCCTATTTTGCTTGCTCAAAACTATTTTTAGTCACAAATGCGAGTGCCGTGACGGGCGGATTGCCACACTGCCGACATTTTACTCCGCCCGTCACAGACGATGTTTGATTGCGTTATCAAAACACGCCACTATTATTCGGCCTTGCTTTTAGCTTATTCCACCGAATATTGAATGTGTGTTTTTTTGCAATATTCGGCCGAATATATTCGGTTACCGAATATTCGGTGCATCCCTAGTCCTCATCATATAGAACAACCAAAATCTTTTCAGATAGAGGTCCCTGAAGCAAAATCTTGTATGTGTGTATGAATTTAGGGGTCACTGACACTACAAAGGTTAATAACCACTGCTCTGTGTGTCAGGACAATGGCACATGTTGTCAGCTGCAACAGGAAGTAAACAAAATGCAGCTGCATTAATTGCGTTAATGTTTTGTTACATATTAAATACAAGGGGTGGGAAGCACCAGAGAATCCACGATACGATATTATCACGATACAATATTATTGTGATTTTAAATATGTTGCGATATGCTGAGTATTGCGATAAAGCATACTGTGATATATTATTTATTACCTTTTTCCAACTGTAAATTTTGTTCCCAAGGGAAAACTTTGTCAACATCTGTTTTATGTAATAATAATAAGTCTGTTCATCTTACAAAAAATCGATACTTGGCACTGTGTGACAATACGATATTACCACACAAAAATATCGTGATACTATGCTGTATCGATTTTTTTCCCTCACCACTATTAAATACTTAAGCTTACAGGTAAAAATGAAAGCATTACTCTTGACAGCACCAGTGTAAATATTTAGAAAAGGTGTAATATATGATTTGGAAGCATAGCTATAACCTAGCATTATTTTCTAACATCTAACAGTCAGTAAAAGTCAAGAGAATATTTACTTGGTCTGTAAAACTCACTGATGTGGCTAATTCAACAGGATAGAAACCACAGAGATGTACCAGTAATAATTACATTACACCACTTCCCCTCATAACATTTTTTCTGCTCAAACAGAGCTTTGTAATTGTGTGGGAAAAAGTCACGCACAGATTTATTTTTCATACATTTTGTCTACTTAGCTTTCCACAAGTTTAAGCACTTGCTGGCGTTCTGAATGCCTTTCTCCAGTTACAAAAGCAAATGTTACAGAGCACAGTTTTATAAGGAGACTTAATTCAATTTAGCCCAGAATCCAGGAGCACCGACAGTTTTAACTTAGTCTCATCTTGTCTTTCTTCATCTGTTCCTTTCCAGTGCGGGGAGCTGCTGTATGAGAAACGCCACTATGAAAAAGGCCACTGGGCTTGTATAACAATGCGTGAGGACACTTACGAACAGAGCATCTGCTATGGTTTCATGAAGATAATGAGATACATCTGCCAGCAGAACTCCTTGGGTAAGTCCACACGCAAGGGACCGTTTACCGCATGCAATCAGGTTCTGGCCTTTTCAGTTCCCAGTCTCATTGTCGTTTGATGGTAATAATCCCCAAGCCAGTAATTTTTCAAGCCTGCCTGACAGGTAATAATGACCCTTTTCTTTTACATCTCTAGGTGAATACCTGGGCATGACGCTGCCTATCATCACAGTGGTGCGCACAAACGAGAACCATTCTGTGATCTCCAACGACGTCACTGTGGCGTATTTCCTACCTGCTGAGCATCAGGCCCAGCCCCCACAACCTCAAGACAATGACATTGTCATAGAGATCTGGCCCGCCACTACTGTATTCACAAGGTCAGTAGAGAATCAAAGTAAAATTACACTTGTAATTGTAATTAGCTGCGGTTACATGGACAATAGTCATGAATCCAATTGAAATGCCTTTTTTAGCGATTCCAACTTAACTGTTTACATGGACACTAAATAAAGTGACCCAGTAAGATGTGCGTTTACATACTACATTACTACAATCCATCAGAACATAAATTTTTGCCTACAGTAAAGTGGTTCGGCCTGCTGTGAACCATCTAACGTGTCAGAAATATAACAGAAGGTTATTTTCCAACTTCAATGAGAAAATTCAATTCATTCAATACATAAAGTTATAGAAGAAGACAAGTGGTTCCACCTGTTAATACAATTTAGTAAAAAGCAACATAGGTGTAGCTCAGTTTACTTTGTGTAGCTACAACTTACAGATGACCCCCTCATACCTCACATACAATTTACCGTTTGTCCCTAAATGTCTGCTGGTTACTTGCAGCCATAGACAATTGTTATGTCAAGCGTCCTAACAATTCAGCCTGTAGCAACACTACATAAGGCCGCTTTTAAAATAAAAGCCTTCATTTATTAATCAGAACACTCACATGAGAAAGTAGCTCTAGCAGAGGGCTGAATATTTTTTAATTTTATGAATGATTCTCTGTTAAAATCAGCAGATGAAGGTGCGTAGAAACAGCTGTTGCAGCCCCTACGTCACCTAATGTTACCCCAACATAGGGGCAAACATGCGCAGACAGAACATATTTATTCCAACTAGCTGCTAATTTTTATTTAACCTTTATTTAACCAGGAAGTCCCATTGAGATTGAAAACCTCTTTTACAAGAGACTTGGCCGAGGTAGCAGCCAATCAAAACACATCTATCCAAACATAGTGGCCTCTCAAGAAAAACAAGCGCATGTCTCCGTCACCACATTCTTTACGATGCCATGTAAAGGCACCTAATGACTCTTTACACTGAGTGATCAATAGTGCTACATTCAATGCTTGGCCTGTTTTCTTTGTACATGGAAATTTGATGCCTCCTACTCAAACACCTCTCCTTTCTTCCTCCAGGCCCTTTGGTGGTCCCACCAATGAAGTGACCATCATTAACCAGATCAGTGCCATGGCTGAGCAGCTAGACTCCCCCGGTTTGTGCATCAACGACTCGTTCATTGTGGCTGGCTACACCAACCCTGCCCACAGCAACCGTCAGAATGAGATCTGGTTCCTAGAGCGACGCTGAGGGACTAGGAGATAACGCATCATCTTATCTGTGACCCTTGAGCCTCATAAAGACTCCCTTTACACTGCCACAGCTCAGCTACAGCCTCAAGTGCAACCCAGACTTAAGCCACCACCTCTACCTGAAATGACCACTGGCCCAGCAGACTCCAGATCAGTTGGAGCCTGAAAAAAAACACCTCACTCTACCCTCAGTGAATTTTCATCCATGTTCATTTATATAGATCCTTATTTTGTCCATAAGAACTGAACCAAACCACTGCCATACTCTCACAGACACAACGCAGACGCTAAGATAAAGCATAGCATTTAACTTCTGCTTTTACATGAGGTGATAAAAAAACACTTTCCTCAGCACAGTGCCCTTTAGTTAAAAAAAACAGTCAATAGTTTGAACTCTTAGCGCTCTGTGGTGGCCGTCGATTACTGTCAGAAACATGCAACAACCTGTCTGTCCACAGCAAGGAGCAGGTTCCCAGTGCACATGCAGCCTTATCGTTCTCCCTCTCTGTTTGTTGCACAGCTAGTGTCTTGTCATGTGGGGTAAAGGTCAATGCACAACAACAACAACAACAACAAAAAAGTTTCTCTGTCATTCTTTAGCTTGCTGAGGTGATTTCAGCTGTATCACTGTTGATCTGCTGTTTCTTTATCTCTGGACTATGTGATCCACTGCAGGTTACAATGCAATGCCAGTCACACTGTACTGGAAACTATTTAAGTACAATGTTAACCAACAATCAACAAGCCAGTTATTACAGTTGCTGTGCCACTAACCTAACCCAATCTAAGGGTACGTTCAGCAGGTGGTATTGCAGGTTGGGGAGGGGATGTCGCCATTCACAACTAAGCTCGCCGTTTTCACATGCTCAAGCTCCTAAGCTACTTAGTCTGCAAGGTTTTGTTCTAGTTCAACCTTTTTGTGAAGACCCAATGTACGTACATTAGACAGGGAAAACTTGAACGAGGTTTAATTAAGATTACAGTACAGCAGGTGACTCTCATCTAACTTACACCAACGTCTTACATGTTCTCACACAATATTATACAGTCAACAACTTGTTGTGATCAAACCTGCGCAGCACCATGTTGTACAAAACCTTTTTTGGCTATGCGCACTAAGGCCCCGTCTACACATATACAGGTATTTTTGAAAGCTGATATTTTCTCCCTCCATTTTAAATATAATTTAGTCCTTGTACCTTCATTGTACAAAAGTCTACCTCGTCGCAAAGGTAGCAAAGTGTACAAGCTAACGTTACTTTTTTTAAAAAACACCTACTGGAGATCTCATCACCGTAAAGTCCTGTTCAACGTAAGGATGAAGGAGCTAACTCAAACATATGAGTGATGCTAACATGTTCTCACACAATATCTTATTGCGATCAAACCTATGGAGACTTATCGTCCTAGTACCATGTTGTGCAGAACCTTTTTTGGCTATGCACACTAAGGCCCTGTCTACACGTGTACAGATATTTTTGAAAGTTGATATTTTTCCCCTCCATTTTAACCTTCATTTTACCAAAGTCTACCTCGTCACAAAGGCAGCAACGTTACTTTTGTCAAAAACACCTACTGGAGATCTCGTCACCATAAATTCCTGCTCAATTAAAGAATGAAGGCACACCCTCAAACATATGACTGATGCACTCGATATGCAAAAGTTTTCCTTCCTTTCCTTATCGACAACAATCCGACTCTTGAAAGTCTCCCACTATCAGCTGATTCGACCTGGGCTGATCTAAAACTGTTGTTTCGGCCGGACTTTAGACCGCAGACAGAGGTTGAGCTTTAATTTTGGGTGCAGCAGATGCCTCCATTCGTCTAAGTGCAATGCAGCACTACGAAGTTAAGTGCAAAGTAGTCATTAGATTGAGCAGTGCTGACAACATGTAAACAATCTGGTCGTCGAATTGAGAAGATTATGTCATTGTTTTCCAAAGGCTCCACTTTACACGTCAACACAAATCAACAGTAACCATAGCTTTTGAAAAATCTGCACCCTAGAAGGCATTTTCAGTGATATTAAAGTCAGTTTGCATGTGAACGAGAGGCCAAATTGTGGAGGAAAATATCTGTTTATGTGTATACAGGGCCTAAACTGCCTTACGGCACCATAACTGCAGTAACACCTCTATTGTAGCACAAAGATAATAGTAAATACCAATGCCATACCAACACAAACCAAATATACGTGCTTAAATGCCTCTCAAACAACAGGTGACACTAAGCTAGAAAACACACTTGATCAGGACATGTTCATGCGTGTTTGTGTATGAATGTACAGCTACAGGGAGGGTAAACACAAAGTGACACTTCAACAAACCAAACACCGAAAAGCTCACTGATTTCACAACTGAATGACAATCACAAAGTACTTATATATTATATACACCCTTTTCTCTTAAGAAAGTCAACGCATTCCTCGTTTCAGATCTACTCACACACAGGAATAGTCACATACGGACCTCCTTCTCACACTCTTTTTACCTGCTGCTCTGTGTCAATGTTAGCGATTATGCATTCACTGCTGACATGCAAACATCGCTGCTGCTGAGTAGAGACAATGCAACCGGGAAAAGATGTAGAGTACACTACTGTGATTATACTCTTTTTGTTAAATAGGAGCTAAACTGTTTTAGTTAAAGCTGTTTTTAATGTTCTATCACCAATGTAAAGAGAGTCTATAAAGTCAGGGTGAAAGAAGTGTGTACGTTTATCTTTATATTTTTAATTAAAAATAACTCATGCAATTCAACAAAAAAAAAGTGATACACATCAAACCAGCTACACAGAGAGATCAGTGATGTAGGAATGTTTCTGCTTAGGAAATTTACATTTACGAGTTGTCTGCAGGTGACATAAAACAGGAACTAGCCAAATCATCACTGTGTGAGGATTTTAAACAGGACAGGGGCATCCTATGAAATGCGTAAACAGTCAGGTATTGAGGCCTGTTATAAAGGTGGTAGTAAACTCGAATTATGAGGACGCTTCATCTTCTTTAATCTATATGAGAAGAAATAAGCAGGTCAGACAGTATTGGGTTGGGAAGGTTGCCCAGTGTGAAAGTCAGTTTGGTTGACATACAAATCCAAAGAATTTATGTTGCATTAAATGATTGTACAGACACTCTATGACAACTGTAAACACTTGCAAAGCCATGATACATGTGGGGTTGGTTTTCCCTTTAAGAGCCTGGTTATATGGGAACATCAAGTGTGAGGATTTTCATTTTTTTTTTTTTTTCCTTTGTTTTCGCTTATTGTTCGCTTATAGTGTTTTTTTGCAAAAGTGTGCTGTACTGTGAAAATTCAAGTGCAACAGCAAGAGCTACTGTGGTTTTTCTCTGTTCAATAAAAACGTGCTCGTCTCCTGTCTTGAAATGTACAGTGATGCTGAGTTTTAATGGGTTCATATATACAAAACACATGTTCTGCACGGTTCTGGGAGAATTACTGCAGAAGTGTGTGTTCAATAATAAATGATAAAACTCTTAATGTCGAGTATTCACTCTCATCTGTTGCCAAGTGCAATCTGAATTATTAAGAAAGAGCAAAATTAAAATCTCTTCACAGGCTCTTAATGATATCCCTCTACTTTTGATGTGAACGTCACCGTGATCGATTTATATTCTAGCTTCATACTTGTACATACATACTAACCGACCGCTGTATCCTAGAATATCCCTAAAGGTTATTCCTTTCTTTTTGGGGGCTCAAGTGTTGCAAACAAAAGGGGTCACACCCTGCTTTGTTCTCACACATATAGCATAACCAATTTAACAAGAAGAACTGGTGCTTAGTTACTGTAGCGTAGTAACATGATGAGTTAGGGTCACACACATGCTATAGTATATCAGAGCGCACACCTATAGAGTGCACAGTAAAGTACACAGTAGCCTGCAGTGCTGTTTATCAAGCTAGATTGTTGTGATGTGACTTGTACACTCACCAGCCACTTTATTAGGTACACCTTACTAGTACCAGGTGGAACCCCTTTGTCCTCACAGCTGCCTTAATTCTTGGTGTCATAGATTCAACAAGGTGCTGGAAACATTCCTCAGAGATATTAGTCCATAATGACATGATAGAATCACACAGTTGCTGCAGATTTGTCAGCTGCAAATCCATGATGTGAATCTCCCGTTCCACCACATCCCAAAGGTGCTCTATTGGAATGAGATCTGGTGACTGTGGAGGCCATTGGAGTACAGTGAACTCATTGTCATGTTCAAGAAACCAGTGTGAGATGATTTGAGCTTTGTGACATGGTGAGTTAACCTGCTGGAAGTAGCCATCAGAAGATGGGTACACTGTGGTCATAAAGGGAAGGACACGGTCAGCAAAAATACTCAGGTAGGCTGTGGTGTTTAAAACATGCTCAGTTGGTACTAAGGGGCCCAAAGTGTGCCAAGAAAATATCCCCCACACCATTACACCACCAGCACCAGCCTGAACCGTTGATACAAGGCAGGATGGATCCATGCTTTCATGTTGTTTACACCAAATTCTGACCCTACCATCTGAATGTGGCAGCAGAAACTGAGAGTGTGGATTTCACAGTTCTGAAAAAGGGAGATGCACTGTGGTGCTGAAGGCAGCGGGCTACCAATCTGCTCTGCACCACCGATGAGACTGAAGAAGCCTCTCGGATGAAAGGTGAAACGTCTTCAAGAAACTCAAGCAAGCCCAGTTGCCTATGATACAGCACTAAAGATCACCATGACCTGGATGACTGAGAATCTTCACTGATATTTTTGCATCAATTACTTAAAATTTATGTGGAACATGCCACTAAAACAAGTCCTAACTTACACCATTTACCATTACAACACAGGGTGTAAAACTTTATGACAGATTATATCTCAGCTCTGGCTCGGACACGGTGGCCTAGATTTTCACTGACATTACAAGCTCTGTCTGTAAAACCAACCACACACTCTGTCACAATCACAATGCTGCTGAGACATGACAAAACAGAAGGCTGCCTCAGTGGTTACAAGGACAAATACTGGCCTCCGTCTAAAGTCTGAAGGAAAATAACACAACGGAGCCCCCAAAAAACCTGTCTGCATGACTGGTTCATTTTTCTGATTTGCCCAACAATCATTAAATTCTGCCTGAACGACTGCAGCGATGTTCATTTTACACCTGAGTGTGGTGTTGTCTCTGTTTTGGGTGCTGTCTGCTCAAATTAAGGGAGGGCAGTGGGAAATGGGGATTAACAAGCAGGGTGCAGACGCCATCCAGTCAGGGGGTAACATGAAGAGAAGGTGAAAATGAGAGTCAAAGTAATTATAGAACAAGCAAGAAAAACTCTTACACCAAAAGGGACGTGCACGATGGTCGATGAAATGATTAAACGCTGCTACTCTCGCTAGATGGCACCAGAAGTATAAGCCTACTTTCAGACGAGTCAGCTAGTCTAAGTTCAGCTAAATTAGTCATTAGTGAACATCCCTGATTACAAACACTCCAAAAAGAATCAGAGAGGAGCGGAGAAAGGACAAGACGAAGACCTGACACAGCTACTGTACAACAGGTCTGAAATCTCAAATGCAGATGTCACATTCCAGCTGTCCAGCCGCTTGAGACAGATGAAGTGTAGCTGCACATTTACAGTACAGTACACACAGACAGTGAGCCAACCCGTGACGAGGAGCGAGAGAAAGAGCCTGCAGGGTCCCTTGATAATCGAGAACCATTACATCCACCAGCTCTCAAAACCAGACCACCGAGTGTGACAGGAAGCTGCTTTCAAGACAAATCAATCAGTGTAATATTAACTGAGCCAGCAGAACCACACAGGCAGAGTAAAGACATGTGATGCTGAGACAAAGATTACAGTTGAGGATCTTTTTCCTAACAGAAGCAGACAGTGGCCACAAGGTGGCAGCAAAGCACCAGAAATAAACAAAAGCTCTGTGATGATGAAACCAAAACAAACATGACTGATGGGAATATAAAACCAACTTGTGTCTAAGTTTAAATGTGTTTGTCTGTTTTCTGATGTGAATCAGACAGTGAAAACATAACAGACAAAAGATTATGATGCTTATAGATCCCCGTTCAATAGTTTTAACTCTTAGCACTCTGTGAACAGTGTCATGTAATGAGTGTCAGAAACATGCAACAGCCTGTCTTTCCACAACAGAAGGTAATTGCTCGTGCCTACCTCCAGGTAGCGCGCCTGGTAAGCAGACAGGACCTCTCCCACAGGAACCACCACCTTCTCCACGCTGCGCTGGTGGGAATGGGCCCGGATGTCTGGGCTCTCCTCTGAACGCAGCTCAATGTGGGAGATGAGCAAATTAGAGATCACCGCCTGCACCGCCTGCAGGGACGGAGTAAGAAGAGATAATTTAATTGAGAATTTTTATTATTAGGTCAGAGAGAGAGAATAATTATTAATAAACACAGATATGGTGATTTGTTTTTACCTTTGCATCTCCTCCTGGAGTTGCACTAAGGGCCAGGACGCGGAACTGAAGAGTCTGGCTGCCGAGCTGTCGGATCACCTGAGCAACAGAGAGAGGAGGAGAGAGTGTGGGACATTAGAGCTTATATTTGACAAACTAAAAGTCAAAGAATGTGAACCTAAAGAGGCAACCCCACCTTGGAAACAGAAGTGAGTGATTAAAATCCTCTACTACGGTGTATTGAATTTAATTTCACAACGTGTATCTAAATTATTATCCAGTACATTTTCTGTAAAATAACTGTTTATGGGTAAACTACCCAGAGGGGAGTGTTCATTTTTAGCCAGTCCAATTGATTTAAACAACTTCCTGAAAATTCCTTCATGACATTAAAGCAAACATCCTGTAAAACTGCTCTGAGCAGCCCTGCTCATTGATTTGCAACATTGCCCACAGTGGCTGTAGCGCACTCATAAATACTATAGGGATAATTCCCTTGGTATACAGCAATTTGTCACCCAATATTACTAGGAAATAAAAGTGAATGAAGTTTCACGCTGCCAACTCAAAGATGCTTTGACTGTTTCTGTATTTCCGTAACCGCTTATCCTGTTAGGGGTCATCAGCTGACACATAGAGACAGACAATCATTCACTGTCACATTCATACCTACAGGCCTTTTAGGGTACCAGTTAACCTGCATGTCTTTGGACAGTGGGAGGAAGCTGGAGCACCCAGAGAAAACCCACGCTGACATGTGGAGAACATGCACACATAGAAGGGCTCCCCCATCGTGGATTTGACTGTTCCAAATCATAATATAGTTCTACCTACAGTGTATTCACCAGTGTGTGATTATCCAGTGATGCACAAAGTTGCTCTCTAAGTATAACAAGGGTGTCTAAAGGTATCAGACACTTAATTCTAATGATTTTTAAGACCTTTTAAGGGCATTTTTAACCAAATTCAAGACTGATTTTTGTATACATGTGGTCCTGTACAGGGGTAGATGTTGTGTAGAATATGGTTATTAGAGTAAGGTGAATCTACACTTTGCCTACAGATAAGAGCAAATACACAGTAAAAACACAGCATTAGGTTCAGAGTTAGGTGTAAAGACTTGTAACATCAGAAATGTGAGCTTTCACAGAGGAAATCTTGGCTCGTTTTTACGCCAATGATAATGTTTGTGGCAATTAAAACCTCACATATTCAAAGTTAAGACCGTTTAATGAATGTTTAGGCTAAATATCTATAAAATTGAATTCAAGACTTTTTTAAGGACCTGCAGCAGACACCGATAACCACAGCCTCTGTTTTCTGCAGCAGACTTCTTGTAACCACCTTTCAAGTTTATAAGAGTGAGTGTTACTTAGTGAGGAAATCTTTTGGGTGGATTATCAGAATTTAACTTGGCAAGTAACATGTAAATACTGTCAGCAGCATTCCTGAGTGAAATAAATTGAATGGCAGAAGCTGTGATCATTAGTGACAGGTTGGTGTACCTGACAATAGGCATGGTTGCCCAGCGCCTTGTGGGCTTCATCGATCACCACACACTTGACCTGCTGGGCAGGGCAGGTGTCTCTGGACAGATCGTTCACCATGACCTGGGGGGTGAGGAAGAAGACGCGCTTGGTCCTCCATATCTCCTGTCTCTGCTTTGCTGCTGTGGTGCCTGTGGAAAAGGAGACTTGTTAATAGAGGCTAAAAGACAAAAGATGGGTGTCAGGGGGTTTTGTGTCATGACTGTTACCTGTCAGCTCGGCCATGTGTGCCTGTGGGATCCCCATCACTTTATAGCAGGCCTCGATCTGTTGTGCCACCAGAGGTTTGGTGGGAGCCATGAATACAATCTTCCCCGATGGATACCAGCGGTAGAAGTTGTACATCACCACAGAAGCTATGAAAGTCTTCCCCAGGCCAGTGGGAAGACACACCAGTGTGTTTTGAAACAGGGCAGCCTCTGATATCTTCAGCTGGTACTCCCTGATGGGATAGTTGGTGGGGTAAATCCATACCTTAGCAGAGGAGCTGTCAAAGCCAGGGAAGTCTGGGTATGATTGCCCACCTGACGGGACGGGAGAGAGGGCAGTGCTCTCTGTTGCTACAGGGCTGTCATTTTGGAAAGAGTTTGCATCACCAAGTTGCAGGTTCTGTTCGGCTTCATAGACAGCAACTATCATCAAATCATCGTCGTCATCTTCATCTTCATACGCAGGCTCCTCTGTCCTCACCGAGCTCTCTGTTGTGGATGTGGACCCCTGACCTACCTGAGCCCACAGAGGATTTTGAGGAGGGTGTGCTGTAGCTAACGTTACCTGTGCGGCGTTGCTCGGGGTTGTTTTGCGCCGTCCAGCGGCTTTCTTGCCATCTTTTTTCGGTTGTGCGACTTTGCTTTGAGAGACGGGTGCTCCCCAAGTCTGAAACAAAGTCCTCTGATTAGTGCCACTACTCATTTTCACTCGTTGTGGCGGAAAACTATGAGAAAAAGTCTCGTCAACATTGCAAACTGAGCACCCCGGAATACAAATACGGGATCACTTCCGTTCACGCCTTACCAAAATAAAACCATATACATAACAACGGTTTTACTCAAGAGTAATTTCTGTCATTAAAATACATTTTTCAAGTAAAACAAAAAATCAGCTTGTTGTTGGCGTGAATATATCAAGCTTAAAGCTAACCGAGCACACGTACGTTGGCTACATTTAACACGGATGCCTTTATTTTGTTAGCGTGACACCGGAACAACATCAAAAGTTTGAGTTCCTCTCCCGCTCTAGGAGACGACGCTGTCATGTTACCATAGCAATGGACAGAAGCAAATGGGAGCATATACTCACCTGTTTTCAGGTAATTACGTTAAGTAATTAGCCTACTCTCAAACTGTAAAGCACCAACTTGCGCTTTTATACCTACAATGATTCATTCGTGCTGTTAGCTGCTTTTGCTAACTTCCGGTAAACGGCTACTAACCCTAGGTACCGGTGTTAGCATAAAGCTAGCTTGTAGCTCTAAATAGATAGATACATAGATAACGTTACATAGGTAGATATATACTTTATTACACATAGGGATAGACAATTTAAGAATAAAAACATAAGAATAAAACCACAGTAATGAAATGATAGTCTACTCCCATGACTACTACAGTAGATATGCTTATAATGGTAGTGCACGTTTAGCTGGTTGTCACTTTCCATATATCTATGGACTCCTCTCGTCTGCAGGCTTCTGCACGTGGATACCTGGTGAGAAACGAAATCCGTCGTGCACGAGAAGACTTTGAGGACATCGTGACAGAGATTGATGGAGGCTTGACCCATGTAGAGTGGAGGCAGGGGGTTATTCCCATCCCTCGCTTCACAGACACTGTAAGTAACTGAAACTACTGTGAGAGTGAGTTCATCAGCTTCTTCTCATGGTTTTTGCTCATGCATCCTCAGGAAGGCCCATTTCTACGACTCAGCAGCTCTGCCAGCAAACCTCCAAACCCACGACTGGATGTCAGTGCCAGCCACCACAGTCCATCATCATCATCCTCAGCACCCTTATCAGAGAACAGAGGAGATCATCCTGTCCTGTTGGAGAGGACAGAAGCAGAGAGAGATAATTCACAAACCAAAGGTCAGGCCTCTCTTTCTCAGTACTGTTTCCACAGCAGCAGTGTTAGAGGGGATGGAGAGGGACAGAGAGAAAGCACAATGGAGGAGAAAGATGGAGACTCTACTACCGTCTGGAGCAGTTTGGAGCTGGACGTGAGCTATGGTCACTCTCACAAAGGTGAGACTTGTGCATGTAACAGTAGTTGTTCCCTGCACATTTTTGGTATTGAATGAGATGAGAGATTGAAGAGATTACTTATTGTGCATGTCTCCTCCATATATCATATTGATTTACAACGGAAGTACAATGGTGCATCTTTCGTGGGGCTTCAACTGGAGCTGCAAGGATTAATCGATTAGTTGCCAACTAAAAAAATGTATTGCCAAATTATTATATCATTAATGCATCAGTTCAATTTTTTTCAAGAAACAAAGGTCACAATTCTCTGATTCCAGCTTCTTAGATGTAAATATATTACTGGTTTCTTTATCCCTCAATGACGGTAAACTGAATATCTTTGGGTTGCAGACAGTACAAGACATCTGAGAATGTCATGTTGGGCTTTAGGAAACACTGATGGACATTTTTCACCATTTTTAGACATTTTATAGACAGACAACGAATCGATTAATCAAGAAAATAATCAACAGATTTATCAGCAATGAAAATAATTGCTAGTTGCAGCTCTCAGCTCTCACCATCTCAGTTTACAGGAGCTCAAGTAGCTGCTTTCAATTACTTTTTTGTTTTTAATTTTCAGGTTTTCTTTTTTGAATTTGCAATTTTCAACAATATGATACTGAAGAGCAGAATCAAAGTAGCTGGAAATAGCAAATGTTTTGGCACTTTTCCTTGAGAACTGACTTAATTATTAATCAATTAACAGTATTGGTAAAAAAAAAAAATTGAATTCATTGTTGAGGCACTTATCTTGTTGTGGAAGCACTGCAAACGGCTGTGGTTTGTTTAAAATAGAATTAAAAGTCAATGGGTCGACATTATAATTAGATTTAGTTATTTAAAACAGTGACCTGCTTCAACGTTTTAATATAACTTCAAGAAAATTGTCTAAATGGGAGCGATATCATTGCATACAAGTTGATTCATCTCACCACATTTGAAGGTTTTTCACTTAAAAATAAGCAAAAGAAGATAAAAATCTGACGATGGTGTAAAACACATGTCGCACCTGTGTGGTTGCCTCTTGTAGTGTAGATGCCTTATCTATCATTTTGAATTTGTCATCCCTCCTGTAGGTCCTCAGCAGTACGGCTTGGTTCAGGAGGTGCCCTGTACCCCAGAGGCCTTGCGTCTCCATAGAAACACCCTGACCATGGAGCTGGTTTGGCTCCAGCAGGCCATTGAAAGCAGGAAGAAGGTGAGGCAGAGGAAGGGAGAGATGTAGTGTTTGCATTTATTTAGCTTTGGCAGTCTCCCACTGGAAGAAAATTGCCTCTGCTGCAAGACTGAATTTATTGAGTGACCTCAAGAATAAGCCAGTACAGTGAGTTCACGCTGCAGCAGTTCTGGAAAGAAATACCTACATTGTAAGTATCCGTACCTGAATGATAACTATAGTGCATTTGCAGCAGCTACTTATTAAAGGCAATCACCATGTCCTGAAAGCAGCACAGATACTGAAGCTATGCACATGATTCAGCCTGTTTTTTTCCTACAATCTTACCTGCGTTATTAAGTGCACACATCTGTAATGCTACTTACAGTATTTAACTGCCTGCACCCTTCGCACTCAGACTGTGCACCAATTGAATCCCGTAAATTATCTTTAACAACCTGAATGTCGTCATGAGTCCCACATCACAGTTTCCATGAAGCACTCTGCAGCTCCACAGGGTGCCAAGGTGCCAAGATGTGCACAGAGAACACTTAATGGTAACAGCAACTGAACTCAGAGCAAGGTTATTAAACTGAACTGAAATGAAACTAAAAAAGTAAAAAAACATGTTAGTTAACTGAAATAGAAATAATGTACATTAACCAAAAACTGTATTGTGTACATGGAAAACTAACTAAAATAAAATATAAATATACAGGTGACGTATCAAATTCATCAACACAACAAGCGGGGGGAGGCATTGGTGCATATTGAGACTGGGATGTCTACATGACTGTGTGTTATTTGCCTTCACAAGGTGTTGTGTTTGTATGTAATACCTATTCTGAACTTCTTAAGTCTTGCCAAATCTTCCCAAATACCCCCATATAATTTTAAAAAAATGACTGAAACCAAGAAAAACTAAACTAAAATTTAAAATTTAGAATGAGCAAACCCACTCTGGAAACTAACTAAAACTAAACTGAACTGAAAACAAAAATTAAAAAGGAAATAGAAGCTAATAGAAAATACAAAACTACAGTAACTCTGACTCAGAGGAAGCCGGATTTACTCATGCATGTGACTTAAGCTTACCTAATGTATAACTAGGCAGAAAATTAACATTAAACTGTTGTTTTCCCTTCTGTCTCCTCCTCTGCAGTACTTGTCACTGAAGGACAGGCTGAGTGTTTCCTGACAGCAGACGTAATCTGAACTGGACCAGACAACTGAAGTCACTCAAGTAGCGTCTTAATATTTTATATAGAAACACAGTAAATAAATTGCAGTCTGTGGTTTTGAGCACGTGTTGGATGAAATATGTACATTGTGTATTTAAAAGAAATAAATGTTATTTTTCTAAAAAGTCGTCTCTCTGCTGTTGTTGCCACTTACTACACATAATAACACAAATTGTATTTGGCACAGGTAGTTACTGTAGTGTAGGAAGAAGGTTCATTCAGAGAGATGAAGTGAAGGGTCCTTGGCTCTAAACAAGTTTGTATTGTGACTCATAGAAGCTCAAATTTCCCATTTGGATCACAATGAATGAGCTCTCACTCATCACATCCTACAATTCACATGACTGTCTCCTGTTAGGCTGCTGTTGTCTTTTAATGTCACTAAAGAACACCCACAGAAAAGTCTTTAAAGCCAAAAAATAAATGTGTTTAAAGGTCACTTTTGAGAAATTTCAGTACTGGTTTTATTACCTACTGGTTCCTGCACTTGCCAGGTAATGTTAATATAAATGACATATTTGGCAATTATTTTTTGGGTGGAAATACAGACAACTGGGTAGAGGTTATCTTAGTGATTCAGCCTACAACACAGCGACCCAGCCCATTCTCTCCTCCTCTGTCTGTCCCTTTTGTTGTGGTTCCTGCCGATGGTTTGGCCCACAAAGCCAGTCATTGCTGGCCACGCTGCCATAGCAACTAGGAAATACTCACCACCGTCAGTGGAGTAGTGTGTGAATGTGTGTGTTAAGGGGGGATAGAGAGAGCAGAACGTGGTGAGTGGGAGTCCAGACATACCACAACAACAGAAGGGACCGATTTTTCACCTTTGCCTTCAGTTCTACGATTTCCTCGCTTCGTCTTCCAGCAGCCGTGTGAGTGACTCAACAGTCTGTGTGTATCATAGATTTGTATTTGTGTTTGGCTGTTGAAGTGTGAATGTATCTGGTGTGTTAAGATGGTCTGTAAATGCTACTCTAGGTTTAGAGAGTGTTGTATGTGGACTCAAAAACACTTGGCTTTTTAAAAATGTGTCTGTGACAGCAACAGCTGGCTCAGAGATGGCTGCCAGCACCGCAGCCACAACTCTCCTGCCTCCAGTGAAGAGCGTGGTGGTGTATAGGAATGGAGACCCTTTCTACAATGGACGAAGGTTCGTGGTCAACCAGCGACAGGTCACCACCATGGAGGCCTTTCTGACTGAGGTGACCCTGAGCATCGGGGCTCCGCTCGCCGTCAGGACTCTGTACACCCCGAGGCAGGGCCACAGGGTCACAGACCTGCAGGACCTTCAGACAGGAGCCCAGTATGTTGCTGCTGGCTTTGAAAGGTTC